TCTAAAATCGCCGCTGACTTACCACGTGAAGCAGGAGGACTACATGTTGAGCTGTTTGTACTACAAGTCAGGGTAATCGTGACGTCACATCCGGCCACTGGGACATTCCCTTTCCGTGTAGCCGTCTTTTGTTAATTTGTTTTTGGCTATGTAAATGTGTTTTGCCACTTGCAGTTTTGTCTTTGCACTTGTACAAGTGTTTCCGAACGGTCAATTTTTTTTTAGATGTAAATTTGTTTCCCTATAATGTATTTTTTTTTTCTCTAAAATGAAACTTTCTCTCACCTAAAATCTAACTTATTTAAAATGTGAATTTGTTTCCTTAAATGTAAACGTGTTTTTAAAAATGTAAACTTTTTTTTTCAAAAATAAATTGATTCATAAAATATAATTTTGTTTCTTCAAATATTATTTTGTTTTTTATTTGTTAATGTGTTTTTTGAATTGTAAATGTGTTTTTAAAAATGTAAACTTTTTTTTTCAAAAATACATTTGTTTCATAAAATATAATGTTATTTTGTTTATTTGTTAATGTAAATTTGTTTGCTAAAATGTAAATGTGTTTTTAAAAATTGTAACTTTTTTTTCAAAAATAAATTGTTTCATAAAATATAATTTTGTTTCTTCAAATGTTATTTTGTTTTTTATTTGTTAATGTGTTTTTGAATTGTAAATGTGTTTTGCACTTCTCAGCCACCGTAGATTAGAGTTCAACAGCTGGGTCTAACCATAACAGGAAGCCTATCATGTGAGCTGAAGGTTTCACATGGACACAGGAAACAGCAGCGCGTGACTAAAGCTCTGCCTGTTGCAGGAAACTCAGACGAAACCTTCCAAGATTCAGACTATGTCAAAGCTACAGTACACATAGATAGAAAGAGATATTGTTAGATTTATCAGAAATAGCTCAATAGAAAACTATTGGGGTACACGTATTATGCTAAAAAAGAATATAGGTTCAAGTTACTGAAATACTTGAAAAAGGAAAAAAAAAAGAAAATGAAAAATACTAATTTAAACCCCTATCCTAAATGTATTACTCTTAAAGAACTAAAAATGGTTTTCCTTTTTATTCATAAGAACTTTGCCCTCTGCTTTTGGGAACCTTTTGTCCTTAGGCATTAATAGAGTATGAGGGATCTCTTTTCTTCAACTTTATATAAATTATCCTGTGTGCTTTAACATTGACTTCAACATTAAATGAGACAGGCAGATAAGACTTGATTCGCATCATTTACTTTTTCCATTTCAAACATTTTCAATTTAAAGCAGTAGGGGTATTTGACTAACCTGACTCCGCCAGATGGATTCGCTCCGCATGTCCATCTGGAAACCTTCCATTGAAGTAATTTTGGGAAGGGGCGAAAATACTGGTTAGCTGATTGGCCTATGTTGGTGATAGACGGGCCAAATAAACCAATCAGATCAACGAAGCATATGATGCACTAACAGAGCGACGACAAAAACACAACCACAAGCCAGGCTACTCTTGCCGAAACCAGTCGGGAGAAGAGCAAAAACATCTTTTCCTCTGAGAAAAGCCTCCAGAGCAGTGTTTTGCTCTTCTTTCAGTGAAAAAATACTCTGTAATTCCGATAAAACTTGCTCGATAGCCACGCTAACGCTAGTTTCATCGGCTGAAGCCGCCATGTTCTTTAGACTGAACTGTCGCGCTTCTCGTTGCGTCACACCTCAACCCGCCTCAAAGCCAACGCTGATTGGACGTTCGTTTGGTGAACGGCTCCAAATTTTCTTTAATGGAGAGTCTCCAGACTGATCTGCGAGTGAAACCTTGAAAGCTGGCGAGATCAGGATGGTCTCACGAGGCTAGTATTTAACATGATCTAGACCAGATGCCATCTATTGGTCTGCGCGCGGAGCACACCGGTTAGATTTCTGTCCAACTTGCTCCTGTCTGCATCTGACGCATGGAGCAAGTGAGCAACTGAAACCACGAGAGATCAGAACTGGCTGTGCTGCATAGCACATGATGGGAAAACTCTCCAGGCACAGGTGAACAAACCGGTGCTTAGATCCAAGTTTTATCAATAAAAACACCCCTACATGCCCTCTCCTAGTCAGCTTTATTTATTCAAAACATGCATTAAAAACAAAATAATGCATAAATCAACCAAACATATATTACTATACAACATTACAAACAAATACTATTGGAAATATTTGTTCATAAAAGGCTGAACGTTTTTTTAGATTTATGTGATGAATGTAATGATGTACATGTTATAGAAATATGCAAAACAATCTACAAATAAAAAATAATTGCAAAAATTTGGCTATGCTTGGCTAATTATTTCATACTTTTGTGTTGCAATATTTAGCCTTATTAAGAGGCTAATTGCTAAATGTGGGTGATAGGGTATTAATAATTAATAAATTAGGTGGTCTATTATTAATAGATATAGTAGAGTTAACTGTGAGACACTATCAATACAGTACATAGGACTTCATAGGGAATTTTGTTTTATTATGTATATTCCATCAACAATTAGCACAATGCAAACTAAATTCCAGCCATCTTTTAGTTGCAGACAGCTCTGTCCAGCTTTTAACCCCACCCATAGGTACAGCTGTAGACGGTGTTTATCTTAAATGCACCGATTACTACAAATGGGACTGGTTCATTAGCACATAAGTTAAAAAGATCTACAGAGCTCTGCAGTTCATAAGGAAATTCATGTTCAGTTTATGCTAATTTTAAAATAAATCTATTTTTTTTTTTTTTACTTTTTTATTACTTATTGCAACTGGTCTTTGAGTTTGTACCAAAACAAAAACCATCTTAGAATCAAAGGTTGGCTAAATACTGTTTTATATTATATGCCTCTCCATCTACCTATACATGAAATTAACTGTTATTTTGATACCAAAGCCCTTTTGTTATCAAATGTTATGCCTGTTTATTGAATCTTACATATTACAATAAGACAATAATAGAAGGCACCATAAAACCAGGACAAGATTAGAAATAAAAAACATCAATAGCACAACTAAATTCATGAGATAAAAGTCTGGAGGAACAAGAAGTTTAGGGGTCAGGCTGAAAGGTCTCGTTAACCTTAGTTCTCAGCTTAATATGAAGAACATTCATGAGGTTTTGGTCTTCTGCTCAAAGACTTAGAGGAGCAGAGTTTGTAATTAAAAGCTGAGATAAATGGTCAGAGGTCTGGTCGTTTAGAGCCCTGTGGATAAGAACCAGAATTTAAAATTGAGCTTAAGACTGCAGGCAGACGATATTTAACCTCTCCACTGGAGGCAATGCTGACCCCTACCAGAGATTCAACATCTTGTAAAGTTTCCACTCTATAAGTGGAAATATGCAATCAATACTAGTTGCAGAAACAGATTTTTATGTATCTGCACTCAAAAAGCGTCAAATAATGCCGGACCTTGTTTATTCAGTATGGGAGATGCCCCCAACATGGCAAGACTACCTTTTTGTATATTTACCTCCTATATGCAATTTCAAATCAATAATAATTGACTTAACAGAACATAAAGTGGTCTTCTAATGTTAGATATTGCTACAGTATTGAAAAATATATATATTTTTAATATTGTATGCAAGAAGCATAAAGTCATAATACTGCCACAGTTCCTGCTGGCTTTTCTTTATGTCCGATCAAAGGTCTGAACAAACTTTAAGCCTTTTTGTTATTGGGTTATCTATTTGTCTATGTGATAATTGATAAAGTAGAAGTTTGGGAATGTGAGGTTCTGTTATTTTGTTATTTACATTTAACTAGTCCCCCCCCCAAAAAAAAAAAAAAAAAAAAAAACAACAATAACAACTTACCGCTTTTCTCATCTGTCAAGCAATTGGGCATAGTTATGCAGGGAATATTTAGAGAAAAAACCCCAACATATTTAATATGAGATGGTTTGTTATAAAGATGTTTGACTAAAAAATTGAGAATGTTGGGATACAAAACAACTAAACAAGTAAGCACTAATTCATCTTACCATCAGGTATGGGAGGGTGGGGGGTGGAGGGGTTATAACTACAGTAGGGCAGGCCAGGAGAAAAATCCTACCTACATCTACAACCAAACCAGGACATCATCTCCATGTACATGGAGGCTACATCAACTCTAACCACAGCAATAGCCTCAGGCTCATCTTACCAGCAAAGAACATGGGGGAATTATGGTGCAACTCTTTCATTTTCTGAGCAAACAGAGCGTTCATCTCTCGCTGCAGAGTACCTGCTGCCCTTTTGCGGCCATCAAGGACAGAGCGTGGAGGTAGCATGGGGGGTGACTCCAGGCTGCTCAGACTGTCCAAGCTGTCACAGCTGCTGCTGCTGTCACTGAGTGAAATTGATTCATTCACAGTGAGGACTTTTATTGGAGTCAGCAATGAACCACAAACAGACCCATAGTTGGGGGGTGTAGTCTGTTGCCAACACAAGTTGGTTCTGCAGTTTGGAGTCATGCAAGGTGCTGGTGTAACAGCATTAGGGGAGCGTCTACGCGGAACGCTGCAGGACCGGATGTTCCTGAGATGGGATTGAGGATGAGGCCGTAAATGTTGGGGACCAAGAGTCTGTCTTTCTTTACATCTGGAGAACGGGACAGGACTTAGGTCAGGCTGAGGGGAGAACTGAAACTGGGGTTCCCTGCAGGATTTGGCATTGGAGAGGGGTTGATGTAGGTCAGGGGTTGCAGCTGTATTCTTTGTAACCAGTTGAACTTGTTTCTTTTCTGAGGACGACTGTACACTACATTCCTTACTATCCACATCTACCTTTCCAGACTTCCCTTTTTGCATTTCCTCTACTTTTCTTTCAGCTTCGGGACTCTCCTTAGACCCTATCACACATGTGATGCAGTTTGAGGACATTCCTACCCTGCCAGAACTAGTGAGTGCAACTCGAGCAAACACCCCGGGTTTCATGTCTAATGGCTCATGAAAACGGAGACGGTTGGCCCGTTTTAGAGGCTCACTCATTGGTCTTCGCTTGGCAAAAGGACAGCTCTTACCTTTACCCTCCTCTGGGTGGAGAGCTCCATTGGTGCCAGGATGGTCCCAGGGACCCTTGGCTTGGTGGGAGGCTAGTGACTCCCCGTTGTGATGCTGTGGTGGAGTGAACTGATAAGAAGTGGCGGAAGAGGCCTTGTCTCTATTCTCAGACTCTCGCTCTTCACTAGCCCCCTCTGAGCTGTAATCTTTGGTGTCAATGGGGATCTCAGGGAAGCCCTTTATAACCTTGGGCTGGCCTCTGGTGGGTGCACTGGCAGTGCGGCGCAGGAGGTGGGCACCAAATGGGTGTTTACGGCAGCGGTGGACAGCAGCATGGCTGTCTAGAGAAGCCTGCTTTGGGTTTCTGTGAAACAGACCCTTTATACCGCTGGCTGCTCTGGCCTGCAAAAGACAACATAAACAGTGTCAAAACAATGAGAACAGACTAATAAGGGATTATTCTACATGAAAAGCTTCTCTTAGAAAAAAGTAACAGAACAAAGAAATTCACATTCAGCATGCTTTTAAATGATTTACATTTATACATATACAGAAGAGACATACATTACTGTGCAAAAGACTTGAGACATGCCACATATCTGCATTTACTTATTTCCAAACCATTACTGTTTGAAAACTGGTTTATCTTAAGTTTCCCGGACCTTCTGAAGCTCTTTGCACAAATTATTGATCTATAGACAGTCACAGAGAAAAAGGCTATTACAGTGGCGGCTGGCCAATAGAGGACGCTAATGCTCCGCCCCACCAGCCCAATGGCCTTGATTAAGACATAAAAAATCCAAATTAAAATGATACAATTTTTATTTTATAATTTATATTTCTAAAAAATATTTTGAAATAAATAGTGATATATATTTTTTTAGATGTGCAAGATAAATATTTAATGTCTAATGACGAGTAAAGCATTAATTCATATTTCAATGGATTGGCGACATATTTCCACCGTAGGGTGCAACAATGTTCTCCCATTAAATCCCATTAAATTTAAAAAGAGAGATCATATTACTCCCATCTTAGCTTCTCTTTCTTGGCTTCCTGCCTAAAATAGACTTTAAAATCCTCCTTCTCATATATATAACCTTGGACCATCTGATAATCCCTTTTATTCTTAACAGAGCACTTTGCTCTCAATCTTTTGGTTTACCAGTGATTCCTCGAATTTCTAGAAGTAGAATGGGAAGCAGATTTTTTAGTTATCAGGTTTCTCTGGAACCAACTAACATTTTTAGTCCATGAGGCAAACACCCTGTGTACCTTAAGTCTGTGCTTTCTACTTTCCTTTTTGATAAAGCTTATAGTTAAAATTGCTCAGGATAACCTGAGCCACTTCTACAGTTATGCTGCCATAGGCTTAGTCTGATGGAGGACATAGGGACCACTTTTCATCATGCTGCTTTATTCTACTTCTATTCCACAATACTTGTTATGTCAACCCCTAAAGTTATGTTATATTTGCCTTTTTAAGTCATAGCAGCTTCTTCTGGTCTGGTTCTCTGTTTGGCTGTGACATCATCCTGTAGGGAGGCATCATCGGGCTGCTGCCATCAATCACTTGGATTATATATGCACAATAGAGTTGGACCTGTCTATCAGTGATTAGTCATTTGTTTCTGCTAGACATAGCTAGGCATAAACTGCATGCCTTCTCTTTCATCCCTTTTAACATGAAAATAACCTCATAATCTTAAAGATAATGGTGAAATAATTCCATGGTTAGCTCTGTCTAACACAACAAGTTTTCCATAATCACTTCTATGCATCTTCCTTTTGTTTTTTTGCTTGTGTCTCCTCCCACCCTGAGGCTGACTGGGAGTTCAAAGTGAAAGGGCCCATTTTCAGGGGGAAGGCCACTCATACCAACCCTGGTTCTGCTGACAATGTTTCTGTCAGGACAGTTTTCCCTCTCTAATGTTTTTGCACATATGCTCCCTAAACCTGAAGTCCTATATCCTCCATAACCGCCCTGCTCTGTTCCAGACTGCCTGCACAAAGCAAAGTCTACAGCCTCCGCTGTTACTCCCATCTTGCTCCGGTCTTAGTTGTTGGGAATATATAGGAATTATGCTCTAATTTGTAGTTACCAATCTTTTGTTACCATATTTTAATTTGACAAACTGGATCTTCTCATTCTTTTCCCTGTTTGGTGCGATTGCAATTGCGGATCTTGACCTGGCCGGACCGGAGTGAAGCAAAGAATAGCCTAGCTCCGTATTTTGACGGTGAATGATGGACAACACATACGTGCGCGATGACGTGTGAAGAGTAGTGGTGGATGTGCAACAGTTCTCATTGATTAACACTCTGCACGACGTACGTCAGCAGCATTACTTCCAAACTGATCCATTCAGTTCACCGTTCACATATAATATAAACGTACTGTATTCAGTGAACGTCGTTCGTTGAAAGTTACAAAAACATGCAGTACTTACAGTTGAGTTATTGTCTAAACTGATAATCCAAATCCCACTAATGACTGAAAGAAAAAAAGAAATCTTTGAGATTTTGATGGGGAAATAACTGTTATTATAATTATCTACTTTTAAATATTCAGTTCATGACGGTTAAAAATCTGGAGATATGGCCTAAACGGACCGGAGCAAAAAAACAGCTGGGCTCCGTATTTTGACGGTGGACGACAGAAGACGTAAGTGGGCGGTTACGTGCAGAGGAGTAGTGGTGGATGTGGAACACTTCTCATTGATTAACATGACTGACAAGTACTCTACACGACGATTTGAGCGGGGCGGAGCGCTCACGAAGTATGTGGAATTTGGGGGTAAGGGATTGCTGAAGAGTCATTAACACAATGAACACAAATATCTACTGTTGCCACATCATCAAGAAGGAGCTGATGCTATGATGTCAGTGACTCGATGCAACCAGCTGGGTTTCCTTAGACAGGAAACTTTTAACCAATTTGAAAATGGCTGAATGAATTCTCTCTGTTAAGCACATCAAGATGACATGTTGTGATTTTAATATATAAAAATAAAATGATTAAAATTTTTCAATACTAGTTTCCCCGCGTTCTCAATTTGCCATCATGGTTGACTACAAAAATTAAGAAGAGTAAACAATCTGTCAAATTCAACTTTGGAAAGCCTTCAGAAGACCCGGAAAACTACTGAATAAGAATATCAGAACAAGAATCCAACTGCATGGATTAAAAGAGAAAGAAATCAGGAATACAGAAAACATTTTCCACATTGTATATCAGAATATATCATTGCTACTGTTAAACATGCTGACCGGCTTTGAATTCCTCCAGGATTCAAAGTTTTGACATCTAAAAAACCTACACATTTCTCTGCAAAAGCTTTTTTTTTTCTTACAGATAAACTATTAGCGGGAAAAATGCAAGACATGTGGAAGTGTTTTTTTTAAATGTACAACACCAATAATGAGTGCCTGCACAAATAGAAATAGTTTGCTGATGTTACATTGGATGGTCACAACAGCTGAAAGGGAATTCAAAAGTGGATGGAAATATTTTTAGGAATGGAGCAGAACAACACGCATCACAAAAAAGAATCGTAGATGCTTGTGGGGAAAGAAGGTGCCTTTCCAACACAGGACGTGCACAGGAATGCATATTATTGGTTGGAACACAAAACACTTCAAGGTACAGTGTAATAAAAAAAAAAAAGCTTTTTATTTAGTTATCTAATAAGTCTTTAATTTAACAGTTTTTTTTCCTTATATGACCCCAAAAAGGTCATGACTCTAACTTTGGCAATCAATGTGCTACAGTAGATCAATGCTCTACAACAGAGTGGAAGCATTAAACACTGGTTTAGAGCAGCACAAACTTTACAGGGATAATTGAACAGAAGAAATACTTTTTTTTTCTTCTGAAAGTTTTACTTAGGGGGAAGTTGTTTCACAAAGACTGTTTGTGTGGAAAGGCACCCAAAGCTTGTAGAAGTTTGCTGCACGCTGACATTTGTTTTTGCTTTTTTTGTCCGCATTCGAGTCGTTTCATAACACATTAGTAATGTCACACAAAGATACACTGAGAATAAATGAAAGTTATTTCTCTTGTTAACAGTAACTAGCAAACATCTTGCCCTCTTTTCGTTCCATTATCATTTTCCTTCAGCCAAATCTGAGGGCCCGTTTAAAGTCATGAAATAAGCATCTCGATTAGACATCAGGACTTAAAAAAGCCGCTCTAAAACTTTTGGTTTATTGTTTTTTTTTTTTTGCCATTCAGTTGAGAACTTTGAATGGTTTGTACTGCCAGACGAGAATGTACTGAGTCTTCAAGTCCCAAACTTACTGAGCATAATGCATAGTTCCAATGAAAATAGGTCATCTTGGTTCTGAAGCAGCAAAGGAGCCCCAGATCATGACACTACCAGCACCATGTTAGGCTGCCAGTATATACGGTTATTTTCTGAAAGCGCTTTTAGTTTGATTCATTATTCAACAATCATTATTCAGATCTTCACAAATCTAGGCATCGTCAGGATGCTTTTTTATGGAACTGTAAGATGGGCTTTTGTCATGTTTTTGGTCAGTAGAGGTTTGGTGTTGGAAAATATTAATAATATTCTCACTGTGCTTCATTGGACTTCCAAAGCTATTGGAATTGCTTGATGACCTCTCCTGGATTAAAGATGCCAGTGACCACTATACTTGTTTTTATTTTTGTGTTTTTTGATCGGGGCAGTGATGTGTTTCTCCTTAGGATACTTCACCTTTCCCCATGTTTCCAAATGTCCAAATAACCCTAAACTTAAAGTCTACAGGTCTGGTATTAACCAGGTTTGGGGTCGGATTAGTAAAGTTAAACTGCTCTCACATGTAAAAAAATGCCTTTTGTTTCAACCCAGGTTATCTGTGTCTGAATAATACTTGCTTGGCTTGAAACACTGCAGCTGCGGCAAAAAAAGTAAAAACAGAAAAATAAAAACTGTGCCAAGGCGAATGCTTTGTCACAAATCTGTTCATTTAACAGGTTCTGTTAAAAAAGGGGGAATAGGTCCAGGAATGTTATGAAGAAAGTAGATCCAAACAGCCCAGCAGTGAAACAATTACAGGATGGATCTTCAATGTAAACATAAAAGTAACACAATAAAGTTTTATTTTATATTCAATCTTTGTCAACAAAAATAAAGTCCTTCGTTACTAAGGTTACTAGTGTTTAGCATTTCTTTAGTTAAACTAAAGGATGAAACTAAAACCAGGATAATTGTTTGGAATACAAGCTCTGCTTGTATTATACATGTTCTGGATATGTGGAATATTTTATAATTTTCAGAATATGCATTTTTAAAGTAGCCAAACATGACATTGGCTAAATTATTTTATTTTTTCCTAAAAGGGCCTGCTATTATCATATTGGGTATCATATTGTGTCAAAGTCAGGGATCTTGTGGTTTGAAAAAACAACGTTGTGTTTGAAATAAATCGGTCCGGAACCTATGAAGTCAACAGGGTTGACAGAAGTTGGTAAAGACGTCAATGTTGGAGTCTGCATTTTTTAAATTTTTTTATTTTTCGCTATCGGGACGGAACCAATAATGGCGAGCCATTATTTTATTTAAATAAAAAAAGGGTCAATTTTTATGTTTTCTTTAGATTACAAAAATAAATTGTAATAAAAATAATCCTATTGATGATGTTTTAAAAAAAAGACCTACGAAAAGACTAATTTAAGACATTTTAATACCAATTAAAGCCTTAGTTTTATTTTGAAGAATTCAATGCCTTTTAAGACTTTAAGGACCTGCGGGAACCCTGCATATGTGAAAGTAAAAAGTGACACGTGAGTCATGTAATAATAAAAAAAAAAAACTTCTTTCGCACAAAAGCTTTTAGCAAAGAAATTTTTTTTCCCAAAATTGGCATGCACAAATGATTAGAATTTATAGAATTTCAGGGTCAATATAAACGCACATAGCGTCATAAACTCATATAACCACTTTCTCTTGGCTCAGAAAGGCCATTAGACATGCCTTTGTTCATCACACTGGTCTGACTGGCATTATACATTTTTTTAATTTCATCTCGCTGCCTTGTTAATTCATCTTTTTGACAAAGGAGATGATGTTATGAGTATTACATTTCAGGCCTACAATGGCAGACAGCTGAATAGGTTTCCTGTAGTGTTTTATTTATTTTTTACTTTGGATCTACTTGAGGAGTGTGATGAATGTACAGGCAGGTCAGGCCTTCATAACTCATGAGAAGCATGAGTTGGCCTGACATTATTATGCTAGTTGTTGCCGTCAAGCGTGTTTGGTGGTGGATCGTTAGTGTGGATGTTTAGGCTCATGCAAGATCCCAACTGGAGCTCACTACACCTGAGATTTAACTGACGCTTCGGGCTCCTAAAACTTCCCTGCCTTTAGTGTTTGGTAAGAGACGGTTCCACTGAAATCACAAACAGACACAAGAAGAGAGTGACAATCAGAAAGAGAGAGGATGAAAGAGGGGAAAAAAGATGTGGGGTGAACCGAGACAGAAGTCACAGCAGGAAGCAGACAGACTGCAGAGGAAAGGAAGTTCAAAGTGAGGACATTATGAAGAAGAACATTCACTGCGTGGCTGGAGACAAACAAAACAATGAAAAGCCCAATGATGATTAACTGCTGGTAAAATTACCAATAAAAAACATCTTTCTGGGACTCATATGAATTGTTTTAGCTGCATGATTACAGACAACAAAAAAGACAATAGAACTGCATAGCTATACTTAAATTAACACTAAAGCTCCTTTTCCCGAAAAATAGGAAATACAGTTTTGATGTCAGAAAGCCCTTAGAAATTAGTGTTACAGTAACACCTGGTAAATCTGGCTTTAGATGAATTCTAGATCTATAACAGGTTCAAACAGAATCAGCTTTCCAAGTGTTTTAGGTTAAGTGACTCAAAAATCCAACACTGTGATATTTTCAGCAAATTGAACAAATAATTCTATTCAATGTAAGACGGTCTTCTTTAAAGTCATCCATTTTTATAGATTTTGTTCCTAGAATTATTTTACCTCCCATCTAAAACGCTTCCTCAGCTTTAAAGGTTATTTGGGGAAATCTGTTTGCCATTAATCAACATAAATAAATAATAATTCTGCTGATCAACTCACAAAACTGAAGCTGCAAAGTTTTTAAAAGGAAAAGTCCGATCAGCAAGGAATAATCAATGGATCATTATTGATACCTAAAACTAATAGGTTTGCTGTGATTTAATAAATTTAGCGTTTATCAGTAAAATAATGAAAATAATTTTCGTTGGGATCACTTAGCGGCCATTTTTGCCCAAATATAGTAACCCCTCCCTCCTGCCATCTTCTGGCAGTGACGTCATGGTGCGGTAAGCCTAGCGCCATTCTCCCCGCTTTACAAGCTAAATCAATGGGAACTACTAGACACATCTGCAATCAACAACAATTATTGAAGATTTCCAGAGGACTTCACCATTGAAATTCACCAGAGCTATAGTGAAACTGACAATGCCCACGTGCATGGCAGTTGGATGTTGGAATACATCGGGTAAAAGTGGAAAAACAATCAGTTATTTCACCTTTTCGATTCCTGATCCTCCACAGACGAGTTAATTGTTGGATTGCCAATGACGAACCCGTCTGTAGAGGATCATGAAGGGAGGATTTGCCATCGAACTTCTGGCCAGAGAAAAAAAACACGTAATATGTAGCCAACATTTGGAAGAAGAATGTTTTCAAGATGACTTGGATAATAGCTTGTTGTGACAAACACCAGATACAGCACTGGGACTTGATCAACAGCCGATACCGCACCGTGACGTCACAAACCAGTAGGTGGCAGTAGTTTTCTTTGACAAACATGGATGCCTCCAGTAAAGCATATTCAGATGAAAATTACTCTTAATTAAAACACTTATCAGTTATTGAACAGTATGTAATAATTTATATTTTATGTACTTTCAGAAGTTTGAATTCTGAATATGACCGGAGTTTTCCTTTAAACGACACTCTTGGAGTCATGTTTATCCTACAGATACAAAATGATAGAGCTGTCAGATCTGTTCCTCAGAGGTCTGTATTCATTCACACATGCAAGGTCAAACACAGATATTAGCTCGACATCAGCCTCCTCAGGCACTACCTACCTTACCGGTGATGTCATTCACAGCCACATGAACAAAAATTGAAGCTTCTTCCATACCTTCCAGGTAAACATGCCGATAACCTGTGCACAAATTCAGAAAACAACCTCAGTTCACATGTAAATATGAACAAAAACTTGAGTTTTAAAAGTGCTTTTCCTAAAACAGTAAGAGATTTTATTGCCTTTTCTCCGTTTCACCATTTTATGTGATGAACCCAGTTGGGTTGCAGGGGCGGGGATTTACTTATTTTTAATGTAAGAGATTTCTAGTCTGTAAATTCAAGCAAACAGTTTGCCATTCAGTGGTACATTGAATTAAGGGAAGCTGACAGACCTTTACATCTTCCTACAAGTTTAGGATCTCAAAGCATTCTCATACACAAATACATCTATTGTTATAGGCAATTTTGATCTACTCTGCGACATCGGGAGGCTTTCACATCGTTTGTACTGGAAACAAGCGTACAACTTTGTTCTCTTAGCTGATCCTACTTGTCTTTTGATTAACTCTTCCCAGATCAAGGGGAAGTCAATGTTCCAGAATATTTCTTTACTTCCTCTGTTCTGAGAAACTGCCTTTTGATGAGAGGCTCCCTTTTCCAATAACATGTGATGCTTTTCTTGGAAACAACTGGTCCTCCTCTCTTTCTGCGTCTCAGACTCTCTTCAGGGAGATCTATAAAGTTAACATTTCTCTGTTTAAAATGTCCTTTTAAACATCATGTTTTATTTATATCTTTAAAGAAAAATCTAAGCTTCACAACAGAAAAAGACAAAAAGGGTTAAGCTTAATGGCACAGCTTTGTAGTGAATTTTCAAAGACCTTTTCCAGTGTTTCAGTTAGATAACATGTCAATAAAAAAAAATATATGAACATAACTTTCAGACATTCAAAAAAAGTAAAAAAGAAGAAGTGTCAGAAATAGCGTTGAGTTGCTTTATACATTAGCCCAGCAAAGCCTTATTTTTGTTAGACAACATGCAAATTGAAACACTTTGGAAAGAGAAGCGTTTGGCTTCTTTTGTTGGCCTGCAATGCCCCATACCGGTCTATGCCTCTGAAAGGTGGGTCTTTAAAGGGAATTATTGCCCTGGCTGAATAGGCAGGGTCTTCTGTTCCCCTGTAAAGGGGATGGGGTTGCGCTGCTAACGGAAAGGGATTAACTCAATTGCTGCGTTGTAGGTTTTTGAAAGCTGAAACATGAGTCCACCCCCCCCCCCCCCCCCCGTTTAAGCTTTATTTTTCGTTCTTAACATAGATGGCTTTCTTCACGCTCCTCTCAAAACACCTATTTCTTTGTCCAAAATGTGAATATTCTGGAACATTCTTGTCCTCAAAAGTCCTCAAACGAATAACATTCTTCTGAGCACCAGAATGCTGACATTTTGGACAAAGAAAATAGGTGGTTTGAGAGGGGCGTGAAGGAAGCAATCTATGTTAAGAAAGAAAAACAACCTTAAACAGAGACGGTGGACTCGGGTGACATTCTTTTGAGGACCAGACGGCTAAGCAGGCTAACAGAAGAAGCAAAATGACCCCAAAGGGGTCCAAAGGGGTGGACCCATTCGTCCATTTCAATTTGCATGTTGTCTAAGCAAAAACAAGGCTTTGTTTAGGCTACTGTATGAAGCAACTCAACACTATATCCCGGGATAGGATGCGAAAAGTCTTCAAACTTGGAAATAAAGTCCAGTGGATTGTTTTTTTTTTTTTTTTACTTTTTTGGAATGACTATGACCTGGATGACTGAGAATCTTTACCAGCAACTTTCAGACATGTTTAGACCCATGGTCTGGTTTTAGTTTAATCGAAAACAAGGGTCCAAATTCAAGGAGCTCGGGCCACAACTGGCCCCTCTCAACAATGTAGACGCATTGGATGAAAGACTAAAGGCTTGTTTCAAGTGTACAAAGTGGCTAAATACCAATGCATTGTATGTTTTGTAAATGATACAACATCAAGGGTTTCATTCCTGCCGCCACCAGACTCTATAATGCTGCACTATAACCACAATAATTCCTGTAACAACCACTGTGCAGCCATATTATAGTTTTTATTTATTGACTGTGCAATATTCTGTGCAATATGCTGAATGTGCAATATATGTGAATATAATAGTCATACCACTACCTCACCGTTGCTCCTTACCTACTACATTTTAACGTAAAAGTAAATCCACCTGTATATGTAGCCATCCGGATTGTACATTTTTTTTTTTTTTTTCTTATTTTTATTTTGTTTTTCATTGTGTGCGATACATGTACACTTGCACCTTAATCCTTATTTATCTTGATATACTGTATATATATTGTTTATTGTTTATTCTTAATGCACCTTTTTCCTCCTTGTTTACACCTTCTTTGACTTCTATGCCAATATGTGACAAGTGAATTTCTCCGCTGTGAGATCAATAAAGCTCATCTAATCATCTAATCTAATACAAATCTTAGTGTTTGCTTGAACACAATGATACTGAAGTGGCCCCCTATAAAGTTTGACACCTCTGATCTAAAATGAGCGTAACAGATTTTTACCTGGCATCATGCTGTGGAAGGCGATGGTGCGCTGCCCGATGAAGTCTTGGCCAATTGGGTCATGATCCCACACAAGGAAACGTACAAGGGCCAGCTCTGGCATGTGAACCGTAAAGACCAGAGTCTCCTCCCACATTGGATTGAAGCCTAGAAAAGCGAGCCAAGTGAGGGAACATAGTATGTAGTGAGAGGGGGGAAAATGGAAAAGAGGGGAGACGGAGTTCACAGCAGAACATGTGCGATAAATTAATGGACATAATGGAGACAAATATTAAGATAGGAAAATAACAGCTCGACACTCATCACTTATTCAGTGTGTGGATTAAACAAGGTGGAGCAGCACTGCTCCAGCACCACAAACAATGAAATCATAAATCCCAGCAACAATATACAAATCCTCTGTATCCAGAGACACCGTCTCAGTGAGTGACAGCAAACTGAGATTATCATGTGATCCATCATTTGCCAGTTAGCAAACAGTGAAACAATGTTTTACACTGCAAAAATAATCTAGAAAGAAATAACATTTCTTAAACTAAGTGTACCGTAATTTTTGGACTATAAGCCGCACCTGAATATAAGCTGCAGGTTTTTTTATGTTTAATTACCATATGGTTCGTGCACAGAGAGGATTGTCGGGAAAGAGGCAACTGTTTGGGGAAGCTCCTATTTATTAACATCTCAACACAATTTTTCATATTTGCATAGGTTAACTGTTTAGTGCAGTAGACACTCACATTTATTAACTGGTATGTTTGTTCTCCATAATGAGGGTGTCACACAAACTATCTTGCGCTCGCCATGTCCGTCTTTCTGGCTGTTGTTCTGTCTCGTACCACTCGCGGTAGAAGTCTGCTTGCAGAGGATCTCCGCATTCCCGCGCGCGCAGCTACTGTACTTGTGTGTTAAAGCAAATGTGACGTCAACATGGTGGGTGGTAAAATCCATAGATTTAGGTATTACCCTAGTGCAGTGTTGGGAAAGTTCTCTTTCTACGTGAACTAGTTCAAAGTTCAGTTCACACATTTTAAAATGAACTAGTTCAGTTCATAGTTCATAATTCAAAATTTTGAACTAAGTTCACAGTTCCAAAAAATGAACTAGTTCAATTCTTTTTTTTTTTTTTCATATATTGCTCAATTACACCATAGCCTACTGTAGAACCACAGACAGCAATTATTTTATCAGTTGTAACTCTGAAACTGTGCGTCAGATTTCATCTTTATATCCAGTTTTGAATCCTTATCCAACCAGGGTTTACATTAGCATTGAGGGGACAGCATTTCCCCATTGCTGCTTTAACGCTTTGTTGCTGTCCATTCACTTCACACTAGTAGCAGCTGCAGCTTTCACCCCTACAGTATATTCTCAAAAACATCAGGAAAAATGTGCTGCTTGAATGGTCTTTTTTATGTGGAATTATTAAAAGAAAAACAGGAAAGTAGTCTTTAAGGTGCAAATGTTTTTTTAATTTTAATATTTTTTTCAATTTGAAATTCCATTGCAGTACATACTAAAAAGGAATCCTGGAAAATTATACCAGGCAGGTTTAACAAACAAGTTACATGAATAGTAAAACCCTTAAGAACATTTTACTAACACAAACTGAGGGACCAGGCTGAGGTAGGAATTTAAGGTTACTGAAGTACGGATTTTTTTACTGAAAGCCGGCGGGCAAAGTTAGCAGAGAAATGTAAGATTGTTGCCATCATCCTCACCGACCACCTGGTCATAAAACTGTTTTAAGTGATCACACTGCTGCTTTGTCGCATCCACGGTCGCCTCCATGCTGCTGTAGCTTCCACGCTGCATTTTGTTTTGATGACGCACGCGGCTGTAGGCTACGACGCTGGTAGCTGGTGTTGCCAGATTGGGTGTTTTTCCCGCTACATATTAAGGCCTGTTTACGGTGTGATTTAGCCGGGGTTTCGCCTGGAGGGCTCTATAGAAATCTGGCAACCTATTGAACGGAGCTGAACTGAGAGAGCGTGCCGTTCACAGACACCAGAATGAACGAGTTCACAATAACGTTCATCAGGCAGTAATGCAGTGCGTTCAGTTCACGTTCGCCCAAAATATGAACGAGTTCATGAACTTTTGTTCAATAAACACGTTCAAGCACAACACTGCCCTAGTGGCTGTAAGCTGTAAAAGTCCATAGATAAGCCGCATTGTTATATAAGCCACAAGGTCGAAAAATGCGGAAAAAGTCGCGGCTTATAGTCAGAAAATTACGGTATTTACCCCTAATAAGATCATTAGATAATATATGCTTGAAACAGATTAATAAATTTTAAGCAATTTAAGAAAAAATAAATGTACTTAAAAAAAAAATACTTATTAAGATTTCATTTTTTTGCAATTTATGATTTCTAACTCACCATTATCATCCACCACTCTGGTCTGCTCTTTGCAGCAATCAACAGGAAGGCCGATGATCTCCACCTCCACAAACGGATCAATGATCTGAAAGAACAGTCAGAATGCCATTTAGGAGGAAACAGAAAAATTTAAAACTTTGTCATCTGGCTGGGCGTATATTAATGCCGTAAATATGGCCACAATTCCCTCCTTTGTTGGTTTAATTATGTGTTTGTATTAGAAAATGGCATCCATCTTATCTTTTCTAAGCTGGTGTCTCTCCTAAGCTAAATCATTAAAGGAGAAGCATTTATTCTACTATAAATTGACCTGGGTTCTACAGGAGGAGACATTACTGTCTAATATCGCCACAAACCAGATGAAAAAAAAAATCTGACTGAATGCATTGTTCCAAATGCTATAATAAGGAGGAGGACCTATGATAACACATGAAGGACGGTGGACAGCCTGCATAGAGGTAGAAAAATGGTTGCCTGGACACAACTTGGACCTAAACTACAGCGCTCCATTTCTTTTTTTTTTTTACAGGTGTTTCTAGGACAACAGGATGCCTCATTTAAATCTGCACATGAAGAAAGCAAATAAAAGTGCATTTTGTGGTTCTGGCCTTTTTAACCGTGTTTGAGTCTAGCTGGACGAACTGACAGCTAACATTCTTCCTCCAGGACAAAGTGTTAGCTTATGCTGTCCTATATCCTGGTGCTGTAATCAATCTGACTTTAGACCTGATGCCGTATTGAAAGACCGCTGCCACCTTTGGCAAAGTAACACAGTTGATGTCATGGACACTGGACATGCTCTGGTGGATAGAAATCATCGCTGACAGACTCTTTGTTCGCTCCCATGGCTGCATGGCAGCCAATAAAAGTAACATGTTTGATCTACTACATCTGAAGGAAAATGCTTTAAATAAAAATGCCGTCTGGTTCATTGTAACTTACTGATGGATGTACAGGAGCTTTTTGCTCTTTACCTTTATTCACAGGACTTGTGTTAACCTGAGCGGACAATTGGGGCTTTCTTCAACATTTCAACAATGAGCATTTAATGGGACCCAGTGTACGGGGGGAGGGGTGTAATCTGGGGCTACAAACATGAGGAGGATGGAGTTTACTAACAGAGTAAAAGGGACTAAAAAGACTAATGGATTTTTGTTACCTCTCCTCTGTCTCCTAGCATTGAGTCTTTGGGTTTAGGCAGCTGTTGTCCACTGATTATCTTTAAAATCAGCTGTTTCTTCATCCGACCAGGCAGCGGGTCATCCAGGTTTGGATTAAAGGCACCTATGGTGGGTAGAAAACATTTGTCCCGATGTTCTGATAAACTGGCTGGGAAAAAAAGTTATTAACTTACAGACCTTCACACATGCAGGAGGGTTTGAGGATGTAGCCACAGTTGCCATTGCTGTAGAATTTTGCTCGGTTGAGCTGAAGGACTCGCCCCTCCGACTGATAGTTGAGAGCAACTGAAATCAAAGTAATATGCTGGTAAAGATTCTCATCCAGGTCATAGTCATTCCAAAAAAGTAAAAAAAAAAAAAACAATCCACTGGGCTTTGTTTCCAAGTTTGAAGACTTTTTCACTGCCCATCCAGGAAGCTTTTCCAAATCAAATGTCAGAAATAGCGTTGAGTTGCTTTATACAGTAGCCCAACAAAGCCTTGTTTTGAAGAAAGAAAAACCAACCTTAAACAGAGGGGGTGGACTCAGATTTCAGCTTTCAAAAACCTGCAATGCAGCAATTGAGTTGATCCCTTCCTGCCATCATTGCAACCCCAACCCCTTTACAGGGGAACAGAAGACCAAGCCTATTCAGCCAGGCAAACAGTTCTCTTTAATAACCCCCCTTTCAGAGACATAGACAGGTATGGGGCATTGCAGGCCAACAAAAGAAGCCAAACGACCCCCATTCCAAAAGGGTGGACCTGATCGTATTTTTCAATTTGCATTTTGTCTAAGCAAAAACAAGGCTTTGTTCGGCTACTGTATAAAGCCTTGAACTCAATGTTATTTCTGACATTTGAATCGAAAAAGCTTCCGGGATGGGAAGCGAAATGTCTTCAAACTTGGAAACAAAGGCCGGTGGATTGTTTTTTTTTTTTTACTTTCTTGCAATGTAATCAAAGTAATGTTATATAGAATATGAGATGTAAAACTGGAAAAATAAAATAGTGTTCATTTTAATCTAAGGTAAATGAGCTGAGATCCTACCAAGCTGGCAGCCAGAGTTCCAGAAAGGCTGAGGGTTGAAATTAGACGAATCTACACGGTAGGAGGAAGGATAGATCCGGGAGAGCTGGCGCTGGTTAAACTGGATCAGGGAAGTCGCTTTCTGCTGCATCAACTGATGAGCTTTGGTCTCGCTCAGAGAAGACACCTGCCAGCTGCAGTTAGCTGCAATACAACAAGCGGAACAGTGAAACTCACATGGATTTCACACTACAAAAAAAATAAGAGTATTTAATATACAAGGAGTGTTCACCCCTAACCCACTTCCAGTTGTTTGATGTACCTGAAATTTTGTATGTGCAAATATTTATCTCTCTATAGATCAAGTGGCAAATTACAGCTCTGGACTAATTGGAGTTTCTGATTTACAGCTGGTTGAAGCGAGTCAAGTCTGAAATGGAGCCTGCTGAGCAGTGATCTGGTTTTATTTGAAAGGATGCACACCGCTGGAGTCTTTTAATGAAAAGACCATATGATGGGGCATCATCACACCAAGTTATTTTCATTTCATTTGCCACTTAATCTATAGAATATAAATAATTGTACATGCAAAATGTCAGCTAGGTCAAACTACTAGAAGGTTGTGAGGGGCGTTAGTTACTGAATGTCCCTCGTATAACTGAATATTTCACTGTAGCTAAGGAGCAGTTTCAAGCAGTGAGTATTTTCGCTACAACGCCATCCTAGGCTTCTCACTTCAGACAAACTAAAGGGAAAGTTTCCACTTATTAAAACCTTTCCTTGATTATTTGAACTACAGTTTACTGAAGTTAAGATACTGTTTTAAATTGCTGCAGTTTGTTAAGCAATAAGTTAAGATACTTAGCTTTAAATTGGCTTATTTTGAAAATATTCAAAATAAGCCGATTTAAAACTAAGAAAATCAAGAAATACACTTTCAGATCATGGGTTTGGTTTTATACAACCTGTTCCTGATGGATAATTTCACTAGAAAACCCCCGTAAAAATAAAAAAAAATATCCACTGGACTTGGTTTCTAAGTCCAGTGGTAATTTTTGAATTTTTACGGAATGACTATGACCTGGATGACTGAGAACCTTCATCAGCATATTGCACTCCACTAGAAAACAATCACCTTGTGCCTCAATATCATATAGACCAACGGAGCAGGTGTACTTCACCAGATCAGACAGAGCTCTTGAAAGCTTCATGGTCTTTTTCTTTCTGTGGGGCCAAGAAAAAGGGTGAGACATCATGAACCCTGCTAAAAAAAAATTATTAAAAAGAGAAGTTTATGAAAGCATAATTTTTATAATGAATACATGAAGTAAGCTTTTAAAAACAAAACAACCACATAAAAGACAAAGCAGGAAAGTGGAGAGTAATGCCTCTTTTACTATATGCAGACTTGTTTCAGTGCGTCCAGCTGTGGGCTGTTCACTTAGAAGTAAAACATTTTCTTTGAGGCCACAGGAGATAGAAACCCATCTATAATCCTCACTGACAGTCCCAAAAAGATCCTCTTACTGGCCTCCAGGATAAACACTGGAGTAAAGTGGTTTGTCTCTGACACATACTTGCTATGGTGGAGCGCGGCGCGGGAAGTGCTGCTTGTGCTCTCCTGGTCTGTGTCTGTGTCTTCGAAGCTTGATGTCTTCTTCAACTTGGACAACTTTTTCTGTTAAAAGATTTAGCAGGTTACCTGACAAGTAAGTCTGATTTAAAGATAGAAATAAATAATTGCAGAGCCAAAAATGTTCAATGTGCTTATAATACCCATGCCTCAGTGAGTATTACATTACAGTCGTAGCTATTCAAAATTTCCCCACTTTCCCTGAAGGGCCCTTGGCTGGGCCCCAAAGATTATTTTTCAAACATCAATCTTTGAACTAAAATATTCTGTCATGATTTGTGGACATTAAAATCTAAAGAGAAGCGCCTTCTGCTGGTCAGACCCTGTAATTCAGTGAAAGGGTGGGGTCAGAGTAAAATAAATCTGCACGCCCAAGAGAAGGAGGGGGGGCTCCAGTGGCTGGAAGTTAGCTGCCGTTCGGCTGGCGTTTGACTGGGAGGGGCCATTTTGAATCGCTGCTGCTGTACATGGGAGCTTTGGCACAAATAACTTTATTTAATTTCATTTATAGACCAATTCTGATGTAGAAAATGGAGTTAGGAGGTATGGAAATAGGACCTACCTTGCGTTTAGAGAAGCTCCCAATGAAGGAGCGGCTGGTGCGTTTAGTGCTGCTGGGATTGGCCTCATCTGCTGTGTCTGTCCCGTCGTCACTTTTACCCTGAAAACGGTTAGAAAATGTGTGTTTGCTGAGAAGCATTTACAACACAAATGTAATCGTTCCCACAGAGCAAACCTACAGAGAATAAGTTGTTCATCATTCGACACTTGGAGTGATCTAAGAGTAAAGCTGGCTGTATTTTTCCATTAAAATGAAAAAACAAAAAACAAAAAGCACATTTATTTTGTAAAACACCCTGAAGCTGCTTCAAACTTTTCACTGCTGTTCAAACAAAGGATCAGTTTTTAATCAGAGTAAAACTCTGGGTCTAAGAAAATTGCTGACTATTGCACTGGACCCTCATGGTTTATACACACTTTGAGCTGTAAGACTTTCAACGTTGGGTGAAAGTGTGCAGTAATCCAGGCAACAAACAATTTCAGTCGACTATAAACTTCCTAAACCTCACTAAATATCACAGAATTTTACCTTCATAAGGGAGCATCAAACCAGAGGTTTTTAATGGGTTGAAGGCTGAAACTGAACCACATATTGCCTCATATATCAGGTAAAACACCCCAAATGGGTTTACTTTGGTCAGGTGAGGTACAACTATAGAGAGAGACAGACAGGATAAGTGATGACACTCTGAATGCCATTGAGAATCAGAATGAAATCAGACCAACTGGTAAATCTTTTGCTGATTCAGTGGGTCCTAGTTTCCTCAATGCAGGTGGAGTATGGAGGATTGATACCATGGATTGGTTTCTATGAGGTGCCCCCAGAGACATAAATCAGAATTAACTTGCATATACACATATTAAATTACACTCTTCCATATAATATACTGAAAACCTCACACAAACACTAGTAAAAAGCTCTCACATAAACTAGTGAAAACATTTACCTCTTATATAATCTACTCAAAAGCTCTCATACAAAGTAGTGAGAACTGTTCATATAAACTGGTGAAAAGCTTTACCTTTCATACACACTACTAGAAAGCTTTCATATACACTATTAGAAAGCTCTCATATACACTACTAGAAAGCTTTCATATACACTATTAGAAAGCTCTCATATACACTATTAGAAAGCTCTCATATACACTATTAGAATGCTCTCATATACACTATTAGAACGCTCTCATACACACTACTAGAAAGCTCTCATATACACTATTAGAACGCTCTCATATACACTATTAGAAAGCTCTAATATACACTATTAGAACGCTCTCATATACACTATTAGAAAGCTCTCATATACACTATTAGAATGCTCTCATATACACTATTAGAATGCTCTCATATACACTATTAGAACGCTCTCATACACACTACTAGAAAGCTCTCATACACACTACTAGAAAGCTCTCATATACACTATTAGAACGCTCTCATATACACTATTAGAACGCTCTCATATACACTATTAGAACGCTCTCATATACACTATTAGAACGCTCTCATACACACTACTAGAAAGCTCTCATATACACTATTAGAACGCTCTCATATACACTATTAGAAAGCTCTCATATACACTATTAGAACGCTCTCATACACACTACTAGAAAGCTCTCATACACACTACTAGAAAGCTCTCATATACACTATTAGAAAGCTCTCATATACACTATTAGAACGCTCTCATATACACTATTAGAACGCTCTCATATACACTATTAGAACGCTCTCATACACACTACTAGAAAGCTCTCATATACACTATTAGAACGCTCTCATATACACTATTAGAAAGCTCTCATATACACTATTAGAACGCTCTCATACACACTATTAGAAAGCTAAAATATATGGTCCCCCTCCTTTAATTTAGGCAAACATTGCTCAAATATCACCGAATCCAGATGGTTTGTTGTTGATGAAGAGAGGAATAAACACAGTTTAAGATTTGCAGCTAAATTAATTTGTTTCTATATTATGGAACTGCTATCAGGCACTTCCCATCATCTTATATCAGTAATAAAAAATTATAAATACAAATTTGGTATTTGGTGACTTGACTTTTATTTCTGTCAGGCTAAAGTGAAAAAACTTGGAAAGAGACTGATTCTCTTGGCGTTTAAAATAACAACACAAAACAGCATAAGAAAACCGCATTTATTTTTTTTATTTTACAATTTTGTAAACAACAGCGGCTGATTAAACTAAATGTCTCAACCTTGTATAATTTTACGACTTTTTATTTAACCAAGAAATGATCCGAAAGGCCTGGGAAATGATCAGATCCGCTTATGTGGCTGCAATGCGCGGCGCGCTCCCGACACAGGTGGAACAGATTTTCACATGGGAACAGAATTTCGCACAACACCGGAAAAGGATCTCTGTTGAAGCAAAAACATAAAAAATAAAGTCGAGTAATGCCCATGCTTCTGTGAGTTGTTTAGCGGATAGCTGAGCATGAATCAATAATTTTATTTGATACAATTTCGGCCGGAGATAGCACAAAATGTACGGAGCTAGCCAGAATGACCTCCGTTTAAAACAACTTCCGGTGTAATGACGGTCCTTCCTGTTTCACTGAAACACCTTCCGTTTCTACTGAAATCCGCTAATAGCTTTTCAGTAGTGTGTATGAGAGCTTTCTAGTAGCGTGTATGAGAGCGTTCTAATAGTGTTTATGAGAGCGTTCTAATAGTGTATATGAGAGCGTTCTAGTAGTGTTTATGAGAGCGTTCTAATAGTGTTTATGAGAGCGTTCTAGTAGTGTATATGAGAGCTTTCTAATAGTGTATATGAGAGCGTTCTAATAGTGTATATGAGAGCATTCTAATAGTGTATATGAGAGCGTTCTAATAGTGTTTATGAGAGCGTTCTAATAGTGTTTATGAGAGCGTTCTAATAGTGTATATGAGAGCGTTCTAATAGTGTATATGAGAGCGTTCTAATAGTGTATATGAGAGCTTTCTAATAGTGTATATGAGAGCGTTCTAATAGTGTTTATGAGAGCGTTCTAATAGTGTTTATGAGAGCGTTCTAATAGTGTATATGAGAGCGTTCTAATAGTGTTTATGAGAGCGTTCTAATAGTGTTTATGAGAGCGTTCTAATAGTGTATATGAGAGCGTTCTAATAGTGTATATGAGAGCTTTCTAATAGTGTTTATGAGAGCGTTCTAATAGTGTTTATGAGAGCTTTCTAATAGTGTATATGAGAGCTTTCTAATAGTGTATATGAGAGCTTTCTAATAGTGTATATGAGAGCATTCTAATAGTGTATATGAGAGCGTTCTAATAGTGTTTATGAGAGCGTTCTAATAGTGTATATGAGAGCGTTCCAGTAGTGTATATGAGAGCGTTCTAATAGTGTATATGAGAGCGTTCCAGTAGTGTATATGAGAGCTTTCTAATAGTGTATATGAGAGCGTTCTAATAGTGTATATGAGAGCGTTCCAGTAGTGTATATGAGAGCGTTCTAATAGTCTATATGAGAGCGTTCTAGTAGTGTGTATGAAAGGTAAAGCTTTTCACCAGTTTATATGAACAGTTCTCACTACTTTGTATGAGAGCTTTTGAGTAGATTATATAAGAGGTAAATGTTTTCACTAGTTTATGTGAGAGCTTTTTACTAGTGTTTGTGTGAGGTTTTCAGTATATTATATGGAAGAGTGTAATTTAATATGTGTATATGCAAGTTAATTCTGATTTATGTCCCTGGGGGCACCTCATAGGTTTCCACCGAGCCCTGGCCAATCATGCTTAGTCCTTTCTTTGTCAAAGTATGTGGCCTCCATTATTTCCCCAACATGTTCTTCATTTCATTTCAGTATGGATATCAGACAGGATTTACTTTTTAAACTGCATCTAAAGAGTTTGTGAAGAGTTTTTCTTTGACAGTGCATTTATTTAAAGGAGAAGTCCGGTCATATTCAGAATTCAGACTTCTGAAAGTACTTTAAATATGAGATTATTACATACTGTTCAATGAATGATAAGTGTTTTAATTAAGATGAATTTTAATTTGAATGTGCTTTACTGGAGGCATCCATGTTTGTCAAAGAACACTACTGCCACCTACTGGTTTGTGACGTCACGGTGCGGTATCGGCTGTTGATCAAGTCCCAGTGCTGTATCTGGTGTTTGTCACAACGCGCTATTATCCAAGTCATCTTGAAAACATTCTTCTTCCAAATGTTGGCTACATATTACGTGTTTTTTCTCTGGCCAACGACCAACCCGTCCGTGGAGGATCAGGAATCAGAAAGGTGGAATAACTTTTTTTTTCACTTTTACCCGATGTATTCCAACATCCAGCTGATAGGTTGTTCAATTCATAAATACTTTATTAATCCCACAGGGAAATTAAATGTTGCAGTAACTCATTATTTAAAAAGGAGAAGTCTGGTTATATTCAGAATTCAAAATCTTAAGTTAAAAAGTGTTTTAAATAAGAGTCATTTTCATTAGAATGTGCTTTACTGGAGGCATCCATGTTTGTCAAAGAACACTACTGCCACCTACTGGTTTGTGACGTCACGGTGCGGTATTGGCTGTTGATCAAGTCCCAGTGCTGTATCTGGTGTTTGTCACAACGCGTTATTATCCAAGTCAACTTGAAAACATTCTTCTTCCAAATGTTGGCTACATATTACGGGTTTTTTCTCTGGCCAGAAGTTCGATGGCAAATCCTCCCTCTTCAAGTTGGCGATCCAACGACCAACCCGTCCGTGGAGGATCAGGAATCAGAAAGGTTGAATAACTCTTTTTTTTTTCACTTTTACCCGATGTATTCCAGCATCCAGCTGCCATGCACGTGGGCATTGTCAGTTTCACTATAGCTCTGGTGAATTTCAATGGTGAAGTCCTCTGGAAATCTTCAATAATTGCTGTTGATTGCAGATGTGTCTAGTAGTTCCCATTGATTTAGCTTGGAAAGCGGGGAGAATGGCGCTAGGCTTACCGCACCGTGACATCACTGCTGTAAGATGGCAGGAGGGAGGGGTTTTACTGAGTAACGCTAAATTAATTAAATCACTGCAAACTTATTAGTTTTAGGTATAAATAATGATCCATTAATTATTCCTTGCTGAGTATAGTTTTCCTTTAATACAAAAATCATAAGCAGGGACATTTTTTGATACTGGAATAAGTTAGTGATGCTTTCAACTATTCTGAGTCCCCTTTAAAAGATCCCATCTTTGGCAAAATTGCCATAAAATTGAGAAAAGGAAGAGGAGAAATGTCTCCTGTTGGTTCAGCTCTGGTAAAAGAAAAGTGAAGGACCAAAAGATAAAATTGGTTTCAGGATCACAGGATAAAGAGGCAGATTAAGGAGCTCACTGCTGTGCAGATTGATGCAGCTCTCCCACTGCATTTTAGAACCAGCCTGGAATGTGAGAAGCTCTACGAGCTGCAATCAGAACCAGAGAGGAGATGGTAGCAACACAAGAGAACTGCTGGCTACTAACAATACAGCTAGTAAGGATTCGCCTAAAGAACATCCTCCCTCTATGCTTACAGATTAGATATCAATGTGCTTTATCTTTTCAAAAGTATGTCTAAAAAAACAAAAAAATTATGTTAAAAATAAAAAGTATTCTCTAGAAATTAAAATGATCTTAAGCTGTTAGTAAACAGTAACATTTTTATTGATTATTTAAAACCTGAATAAATTTCCATTACTAGAGATTAATTTTTTAAACCTACCCAGCTGCTGAATCTAATCATTTTTCCTCTATGAGGATGATAAAGATGAACTTATCTTCCTAACAATAACAGTATGATTGTTCTACAGGTTTGTGAGTTTGTTTAATCTATTGTTTAAGGGGTCAATCAGCCACTCAGCTTTCTCCGTTTCTTCCATCTCCTCTGCTCCTGAAACAATCTTACTGCTCTTAACATTTTTCCACTTTAGCAGCTGGGGTGCTTTGTGAATAACTTCTATAGTATTGTGGTAAAACTAAGATGCCACCAGAAGCTACTCTTCTATCTTAGGATTTTTTTATGAATCGGGCCCTGACATCTGCTGTGGTTTTCTCCACAGCCTCATAGGGCTCCTGGTTTTTTAATTTTCCACTAAGAGGAAAGGAAGAAGCTAATAATAAAATCTCCCACCAGTAAATAAAAGCTTTTTGTGAAATTGTGCCGGAATCGGTTTAATCTTTAAATTAAAACAGGTTGCCGGCGACCTGTCCAGGGTGTACCCCGCCTTTCGCCCATTGACTGCTGGAGATAGGCACCAGCACCCCTCGCGACCCCACTCGGGATAAGCGTGTCAGATAATGGATGGATGGATGGATGGTTGGGTTTAAACTTTAAGGTTTCAATTTGAATTGGCATAGAAACTCAGGTCTTCACCATTTAATTTCAACATTTTGCTTCAGTTCTCCATCTCCTTCTGCATCCATTTAAACATATTTGTATTATTTTGTTACTTTAGAGTAAAGAATAATTTAAACTTGATTTGGTATAAATATGTTTTTAGCCAATAAAAAAAACAGAAAAACATAACTATTAGTAAAGCAATGGTTGAGCAGATTCTTCCTGCTGAGGAGACTGAGGTCTTTAGGAGTGCAGGGGACGCTGCTAAAGACCTTGTAGTCATCCTCTAATTTCCGCTATTTTCAAATATCCATTACTGTAAAAATGTCCATAGCTGTATATTGGTTATTTATTCTCCAGGTGGAGTTTTATATTGTTAAAACACTTTATAGTACAGTATTTTATTGTTTATCTTTTAACTCTTAAGTAGTATGTTAATCTTATACATATACAATGTTTTCTATAATATTTTCGCTGCTGTAAACACCAGAATGTCCCCATTGTGGGACAATAAAGGGATTTTCTATTCTATTCTAACTTTCATCTGTTCTCAATAACAATGAATAAATGTCAAATGTGTTATGATGACCCTGAAGGGACCAGAAATTCTTTGCCAAATAATAAGCTTCAAAGCATAGTGATTACTGTACCTTGCCGTCACCCTTTTCCGGGTTCTTCCCACTCGGTGGGAGGCCTGCGATGGTGAAGCTGTCTGGGTCCTCTCGGTCGCGGATCTTTGACTCTTTCATCAGGCTGTCCAGTTTTTTCTTAGCCATGTTTTCCACCTGCTTCCTGTTAGCTGATGTCTGTAGGACAGGGCAGCAGTTGAAGGTCAAACGATAAGAACAATACTGTAGAGAGGTGTTTATGATTGGTTAATAATGGTCAGTTTAGTTCTGGAGGTCTTCCCACTTTGAAAGGCTGCCATGTTCTATACATGGGATTCACAGCAGAAAAAACTTGGTCAAACGATTTTGTCTTGTATCATTTCATGAAAATTGCTCTACAGAGCAGCTAAGACCTGTGGGTAAAGCTTCAAAAAGATGAGGCGAGTCAAATCAAGCGTTTTCTGGAGTGTGAGGTTTCTTAAAGTTCTATATATTTTTTCACTGAACATTCTTCAACTTTTTCCAGAAATGTAGCTTTATTTCTAGTTAATTAGCAGTGGAGGCTGGTCAATAGAGGGCGCAGCCCCACCCACCCAGTGACCTTGATTCAGACATAAAAAAACAAATAAAAATTAAATCATAAATTTAAAATATTTAAAAATATATGAATATATTTTTTAGATTTACAAGATAAATATTTAATCTTTACTGGTGAGCAAAGCTGTTTCGTCCGTCTTCGGATTGGTGACGTATTTTCGTTGTGGGGCGCAAAATTTTTTTAGCTTTAGGCTCTCTTTAAAAGTTGAACACAGGCAGTAGCTCCTCTGCAATGCAAAAGGAAAAGGGAGCTAAGGGCGGAGGAGAGCTGCACCCAGAGCGGACAGGAACTGTCGTCAAAGTCTTCGTGCGGCTGATTGACAGGTCAAGACGCCAAAGTGAAATCACTCAAGACAGATGGCGACGGTTCACACGGTCTTCTAGGACCTGTTTAACTACAAGGCTTGGCTAACTGCATGCAGCGAGGCTAACGCTTTATTCTGCTTTCCCGGTCTCCTTTTTCAAACACCAGGATCAGACCCCGCATGGATAAAGACAGCTAGGACTGATTTAAAGCACTTTTTAGAAAAGGCAAAGAATAATAACAATCTGGGATTCACATGGAAAATAAAATATAGGTAACATTTTCTCGGTGTTTGTTAATTTGCATATGTTGCTCTTAAATAAACATATTCTCAGAAAATGAATAGGTTTGATATATTTAAAAAATATAAACCTGACTAATAGTGTCACCATTACTAAACTGGTACATAATTTTTTTAGGTTTGTGACGCCATATCGGACCATGCAAAACACAGATTTGCCTTCACAAAGCCTTAGAAGGGCAAGATTTACGTTGTGGAATGGCCATTCCAATCTCCAGACCTGAATATTACTCAACATCTCTGGGATGATTTGAAGCAGGCTGTCTATGCTCAGCGACCATCAAACTTAACTGGACTGGAATTGTTTTGCAAAGAAGAATGGTTAAAATTCATGGCCTACTAAACTAGCCCCACCTGCCAGCGCCTAAAATCATTTTTGCCTGCGAGTGGTCTAGCCTAAATCAATCCTCCAGGCCATAGAACTGGCGGGCCAATCAAAACGCAGAGATGTGTTTTGAATAACTGGGTGCAAAGCAGGCGGGGTTTCGAGGGCGTGACGACAAAGCTGCATGAACCTGGAGAAAGCACAACAAGGAAGATGGCAACAACTATTGAGCAGCAGCATGCAATGCGGCAGCTGCAGCTTTCAATGGAGCGCTCCATTGAAAGTTAAAAGTTCTCTTTTCTGTTGCTGTAGTTCAATAAAAGTAGGTTTTAAGATCATTTGAGATGAGAATATTATACTTTAAAGCGTCACTATGTGGCCCATTGACCGATTTAATGCATTCTAGAAATGATAGCAGTGATCCCATTTAGTTCCTAAAACACCAGCCCTTTATAAAAATAAGAGATCATTAAAGGTCTATTAAAAAGAAATCATATTTCCAAAAATAAAATCAATTCTTTTGGAGGCACTAGAGAAGGAGGTGGAACCAAAATAAGTCTTTTAAGGTCCAGATATAATGGCGTAATACAGACTCAACTGACAGCCATATCCATCAAGATCTTTAACGAGTCTCTGTACCTGTGGGAGGTTCCCTAAAGCTTTAAATGCCTCCCTTCATTTCAGCACCACACAAACCTCTACTCTGTAAACAAACTGCAGGAGAAGTGTGGATTTGATACAATTAGTCAATGCCTTCACTGCAGCACCTTGTTCACAAGGTGCTGCCTCCCCTGGGAAGCATCTGCTCCTAAAAACAACCCATTAGCACCAGGAACGTGTTTGTCTAAATATTCACTACAATTACATCTTGTAGAGTTGCACTTAAAATGCCTTCAATGAAAACAAAGTTGAGCCAAAGTTAAATCCCTTTCTCATGCAACAAAGCTGATTCTGAACTCTGTACTTTGGTTTGAGTAATATGCACACGCATAGCTCGGCCACAAGATGGCAGAGTTGATTAATAATAATGATTTCATAATAAACAATGATGGAAAAAAAAGCATCAGTTTTGAAAAAGCCAAATCGAAGTCATATCCACACAGAAATAAGTTTAAGGAAATTTTTTGATAATATAATTAATAAAAACAATCTGACAATTAATTGAATAGTTCGTGTTTGAATGATTCTTCACTTTCTGGTGCAGTTTTTATGTATTAGTTCTGATTTCTATTTAGTTCAGATTTTTTTATTATTATTATTTTCAACATCAGACCTGTCCAAATGAGCAAACTACATGCAGACATTAAGGATTAAAATATTCTGTCAGTAAAAACTAAACTGTAACAGCAGCACCTCCTCAGAGTTAAGTTAAAACTAAAAGGCTCCAAGTGTTCTCTTCACACTTAATTTTCTTCAATTAAACATTCTCTGGTTTTGACAAACATTAAGATAATTCTTCCTAAATATGTGCATTTGCTTCTCTAGTCTCATGTATCCGAATAGCTCCTTCATAGAATCAGTTGATGCAGTTTTAGAGCAGACAACTTTAACAGGAAGGATGAGGCAGATGGGACATGACTGGGATGACTAAAGATGAAGTCTGAGATACGATACCTTCCACTTTGAAAGGAGTTAGCACACGTGCAGGAAGAGAGGAGAAGAAGAGAGGAGAGCAGGAAGTAAGACCAACCACTCGCACAAAGCAGGAACAAAGCAAACCAGGAGAACACTTTGTCAGCAAAGCCTGATACGAACATAAACCACTACAAACTGGAAACTCATGCCAAAATGAATACTTAATCTACTGAACACAGGAACACAACATCTGCTGGAAACTGACCAGAACACATCAAAGGGAGTACGTACATCTCCGTTCATCAGCTTACAGTCGTCTTCCATCTCATCAGCACTGTCCTCATCAGACACGTCTCCCTCCTCGGCGTTCTCATCAATATTTGGGGGCAGCTTCTTTCCCTGAAGGAGAAGTAGAAAACTTATTTCTATACACGGATGGAACTGTCCCAGAATCCTTAAATAAATCATTTATAGGCTACTCTTCAACCAGAGCACTGAGTTTCTGTTAAAAGACAGTAGGGTTGATACAGAAAACCAAACCAGACTTTAGGCTGAAAACCTGCAACCCCTGGCAAAAATTATGGAATTACCAGCCTCTTGTTTAATTTTTGTAGGAAAAAATACATGATACAAAACTAAAGTCATTTCAAATGGCAACTGTTTGGCTTTAGGAAACACTAAAACAAATCAAGAGAAAAAAAAAACGTGGTAGTAATGGTTAAGTTTTTAGACAAAGCAGGGGAAAAATATTATGGAATCCCTCAATGTTGAGGAAAAAAATACGGTATTACCCTGTAAATTTTCACCCCCAAAACTAACACCTGTATGAAATTGGACCTGCTTGTTATTCTGCATCTAAAGAGGAGCGATCACACCTTAAAGAGCTGCTGCACCAAATGGACTGACATGAATCATGGCTCCAACACCAGAGATGTCGATTGAAACAAAGAAGAAGTCAAACGCTTAAAAGAGGGTAAATCAGAAATGTTTTTTAAAGTTACTTGGTGAACCTTTTATTCTCTACAGATGAGCTGCGCTGTTATTTGTTGCAGCTCAACACAATCTGAAAACAATCTTGATTGTTTTAGTCAGACAGGCTTCCTCCTGACCCAGATACCATATTCACATACTTCTCTTTCTTCACTTCAATCAGTCCATAACTCAGCCTTTGAAGTTCTATTGTAAAGATCAACAACTGCAATGCCGACTCAATTTCTCTGTCCTGTAATGATTGGAACTGTAATAAACTTAGTTTTTATTGCTGTTATTTTTATATAGTTTTATATAGTTTTACCAAGTTTTGAGTTAAGAGTAATTAAACCAAGTAGCTTGCTCCCAGGAAAAGAACCAGGAGGGAAGATCAGAGGTGTAATTGCCTTCAGGGGGACATAACTTCCTTTTTAAAAAACTGACATACTGTAATAGGCGCCTGTGGGCCAAGTCATCAGACTGTGAAAAATTTCAGATTGGAAGTCATAGGAACATTGTACAGTAGTAGCCAGACAACGTTTCCCCATGGGCCCTTGGCTGGTCCCGTACAATTCCCTTTTAAACATCAATATTTGTAATAAAATATTCTTTCTGTCATGATTTGTGGACATTAAGATCTAAAGAGAAGCGTCATCTCCTGGTCAGACCCTGTAATTCAGTGAAAGGGTGGAGTCAGAGTAAAAAAATATGCAAGAGGGGGTCATTCCAGTGGCTGAAAGTTGTAAGGGATTTTTCTGGGAGTTGGAGGGGAGTGATCTGCCATTCAGCCTGCATTCGACTGAGAATGGCCATTTTGAATGGCTGCTACTGTACCATCTAAAAACTCGCCTGAACCACAGCAGAATATCGTTCAGACTTTACCTTCACAAGGATCTTGCCCCTGAGCGATTCTGGTGATGGCAATCTCCCGGACTCATCTGCCTTGACAGTGGACACATCTAGTTTATCCCCAAGGATCTCAACCAGGTATTGGGCCATCTTCTTCTGCTGAGGAACACTGCAGTGGTTCTCTATGGACAGGATGACTGGGTAGCTGAGAAAAAACAACAGGTTGGATCAGTAACTGGATTTGGGATGTATTTCTTAGTGTGTTGAACATTGCATTCACCTAGCAAGCGAAATTAATTGTTGCAAGATTTATTAATCACAAACTCCTGAAAATACATCTTGCCAGGAGCCAGAAGATGCCTTTGCCTTGATAGAGAATTGTTTCGGACCAATGACAGGCAGGGACATGTATGACGTCAACACTTCAACCAGAGGCAAAAGGCTAAAGCATAACAAACATGGCTGCACCGGTTTCAGCTGGTTTTATTTCTTTTAAAAAGTGAAGGAAGTAATTTTTGCATTTGTGGATGGAAAGATGTTTGTATGTTCACCCTAACAGTATTTGATAAGAGTTTGATTTATCAGTTAACTTCACTAGTTGGGAGACAAATCAAGCTGCTACTGCTGCTGTGATTGGCCAAAAACTCAACATGGGTCGCAGATAACTAATCAGCTCAAAAAATTATACTGACTGTCCCTACCTTTTACAAACATGTTCTACATGAGGCTTTCCAGATCAATACCTGTAGTTCAATTTGAATTCTATACATTATCAATCGGTATGCCAGGTTAATATTGCATTATAACATGGTGAGATCCTTTATTTTGTAAAGTTGTGACTAATTGGTGTTAAAAATAATGCAGTGTTGTTAGCTAACAAATACAGCAAAAAAAAAAATTCTTTCCTGTCTTGGTATTTCAGGCTCCCCATACAAGCTGGAACTGTTCATGCATCAAAGCAGACAGCCTCTACACAAAGGATATTTCAGTGCAATTCTAACTACATGGTTGGCTTGATTAAATCAAGGCTGGATCTACCATTTGCTGGATCAAAGCAGGATGGCCACATTAATGCAAAAGTATTCTATATGACCTCCAGCTCTTTGGAAGATTTACTTGGGGGTGCGTTGGTGTGAGTATTTGGATGGCTAAGCATATTTGTAGAAAAAGCTGAGTTCAGCACCTAAAAGAGTGCAGTTGTTAGTGGTCAAAACAGCAGAAACTCAGCCACACAGAGAAACAGCAGTAGTAGCCATTCAAAATTTCCCCACTTTCCTTGATGAGCCCTTGGCTGGTCCCCTATAATTCCTGTTTAAACATAAATATTTGTACTAAAATATTCTTTCTGTCATGATATTTCCAGATCATACCCAGAAGTTCTGGGTGAGGAGGAGGAGTAGCAACAATCTTTCAGTCTGACTTACTGATTACTCCCAAGGCAGTTATTACTTACAACTCTTGAACCCTTAATTTCCCTGATCCAAATTTTAAAGCAAGAAAACCTCTTCTTTTTGTAACTTTGTATCGTCCACCAGGTCCTTACTCTGAATTTTTAGATGAGTTTTCAGAGTTCTTTTCTGATTTGGTATTAAATACTGACAGGGTCCTCATAGTGGGAGATTTTAACATCCATGCTGACATTGAATGCGATAGCTTAAGAGCAGCCTTTAATGCTATCTTAGACACTATTGGCTTTGTTCAAAATGTGAATAGTCCCACACATTCTCATCTTCATACTTTGGTTCTTGTGCTGACATACGGCATAGAATTTGAAGAAATAACAGTATTTCCTCACAACCCTGTCCTCTCTAAACCACTTTCTAATAACCTTCAGGATTACTTTAACAGAGTTCTCCTCCCCCAAAAGAAGGTTCAATTTTAGTAGATCTTTATCAGATAGTGCAGTTATAAATTTTAAAGAATCCGTTTCACTTTCTCTCTCCTCTGTGTCGCTGAGCAGTGCTGCAGAGTGCAAAAGTTTAGCTTATTCCCCTTCACAGGTTGATGATTTTGTTGATGGGGTTGCTAGTTCTCTGCGTACTGCCTTAGACAACGCAGCTCCTTTGAAAATGAAAACCGGCTCCTTGGTTTAATGCAGAGCTATGAAGATTTCTCTTTTTGGAATTATCTCCAAAGGTTCAAGAGGAGTTCCTAGAACAGAGTTGGCCTTCTTCATAGAATTGTTTCAAGCATTTTTTTTTTTTTTTTAGAATCTTTGTTTGAAATGTCAAAAATAGAGTTCGAGACTATTTCTGACATTCTGAAATGAAAAAAGCTTCCTGAATGGGAAGCAAAATGTCTTCCAACGTGGAAACAAAGTCCAGTGGATTGTTTTTTTTTTTTACTTTTTTGGAATGACTATGACCTGGATGACTGAGAATCTTCACCAGCAAAGTGTATGAAGCGCACATGAGAAATAAACCCTTGTCTTACTTACAACTTCCTACAGATTTTTGTGTTGTTTTAAGAAAAATGCTGTTGTCGTCTTATAAAAGTTTAAATACTTGATACAATTCTAGGCCTGAATAGTAAGATTTGATGTAAAGCATTCAAACAAACAGGATTTAATTTTTTACAGATGTCCATGTGATGATAAACAACATTTTAACAACAAAGTATGACACCTTACGAGCCTCAGACAAAACCCAGAATAGTGGGAACAATACTCATTCAAACCACTGCTGCAGTGCCATCTCTGTCAGAATGAGGGTTTTTAGTCCAGTTCCATTTAAAATGGGTTTCTCTATATTTAGGACCATGGAAAATCTGACTTCTCTGAAGTCGAATGCAGCCTAACACCCTACTCCATTTTGGCCAATTATCTGTGGAACATGGAATCCACAATCAGCTTTTTGAAAAGCATAGGGGTGAAGATGCACACAAAGGTAGCTCTTTTGAATCCTTTGTTTTGTGAGATGAGTTAAAAATAGAGTCTGGGATCTGTTTGTGTGTGTATGTCAATGAGATTATCTCCTTTTGATTCAGCAAAAAGAGCAAGCATCAATGCTTTGGTCAAATTAGTGAAGAGCATTTCAGAAGAGTTACAGGAACATAATTACTTTGGCTACAGTAAATGAATCCATACCATTTGATCTCTTACAACACCTTATTTGCAATATTTTTCAAACATGAATGTAAAAATGATACACGGCACATTGTATAGGTTTTTTAAATATTATCTTTAAAGATCCTGTTTGTTCACAAGAGTTGCAAAGCCCAATTTTGTTAATATATTTTGTACTCTGAGGAAAAAAAGGAATGAAAATAATTTTTCTTTACAATAGATATCCATATAAATGTTTGCCAAATGGTGTAACTAACAAAACCTAACTAGTATCAAGTTGTGTTTAAAGGGAGACTAAGAAGTTCAACGCAGAGTAGTATTTATTTAGAAACCTTCAAGAGAAGCATTGCCACCAAAAAGCAGCCCAGCAGTTGATACATGCCGAAAACCTGGGACAAAAATATATAAATGTATGCTTAAATAGTAAGTAAGCTACAAATGGGGAATGAAAACCATTAATCTTTAGTCCCAGGCAGTTCTCATTGCCTATTCAAGAATTTCCACCTTAAAATATTGCATTTTACCTTGATTCGTCGTCAAACATTTATCCAACATTAGCCTATGCCTGTCATCACCTCTTCAAAAAAGAAAAACCTTTCGTAAAAGAAAACACATCGAAGCCCTTTTTATCTTATGTCACTTTTTATCACAGGGATCAGCCTAATCGAAATAAAAATAATCATTTAACACACTATATCATCAGTTGTGACTGGTTGTGATTAGGGCTGCAACTAACGATTATTTTAAAAATCGATGAATCGGCCGATTATTTTTTCGATTAATCGATGAATCGGACAAAAAAGATTTTTTATATAAACCTCTTTATTCCAAAATAAACATTTTAGACAGAACAAACAAGCACACAAGTACAGGTTGCTCATTAACTGTACTGTTGCAATATGAAAAATAAATGTTTGTGTTAAAACTACGCAAACTTACATGAGAAATGTAGCTGTACATCCACAAAATATAGGGTACTTTGTTTCATAAAGCGCAAAAAAAAGGCTTTTTTGATTTTAAAAGCCCCTAAGGGGCTCAAACAATAGGCCCCCCCATTTCAGCAAATGAGGTTTTTTAGACTAGAAGAGTTCTGCCTTTTAAGACAGGAAAGTATAGCAGTTAAAGTTGCTACTTGAGAAAATACTGAACCATAGAGATAAAATAGCCCTGTGATTCAAATTATAAATTGTATTTGGAATAAAAATGAGAGAACTAGGGGTGCTAAAAAACACATCCTCCAAAGACAGATATTTACATGGGAATGTGGCATATAAGGAATTGACATATTACTGATCTTGCTGGATTTTATTCTGCTTTACTTCCATAAATTGCAGGATCTTCTTTACTTTATCTTTGCCAGAAGATTTAAACTTTAAAAGCCTTGCCCTCATAATTTGCAAGTTAATTTATTTATAAAGAAAATATAAACGCTGCTTAAGCTAATTCAAATGAAATTAAAAGTAAAATAAGTAGCCAACCTTATCACTGTCTGTAACCTACTAACACGGTAAGGAAAGCATCAGATGAGCTACCTGAGAAACTAACGTTACGTTTCCCCACTTTAAAACCAAACAAACATGGTGGTTCCGTGCCATGTTAATTTGTTTTTATAAAAATTGCATGTTACGCCTTTTTTCGCTTTACAAAGCGCAGGCTATTTTAATTATTGTGATCAATTTGCAGCCGTCAAGCCCGGCGCATGCGCGCTTCATTTGCAGTCTGGACGCTGAGGCACCCCACGGCAGCAGCTGCCGCTGCAGGACAAGTGTAGGAACGATACTTTCACGTAAGAGTCTCCAAAATCCGCCAGTGACACCGTAAAAAGTCGCCAGATTTGTCGCTAGTCGCTTTTTTGAAAAAAAGTCGCTGGAGGGGTCTGAAAAGTCGCTAAATATAGCGACAAAGTCGCTGAGTTGACAACACTGCACCTGCGGCGCTGGCTCACTGTGCCGTATTTTTTTTTCTTCCCCCGTTTCAGTCAAGTGGCAGTGATGACAACGGCGGCGGATGACGCATTAATCGCGCGACACAACTAATCGATGATGAAATTCGTTGCCAACGCTTTTAAAAGTAGATTTTTATCGATTTTATCGATTCGTTGTTGCAGCCCTAGTTGTGATGAACTTCCGCTTCTTCTTCTTATATCTTAAAATGGTGTGCTCTGTTCCTCAGCTTTATGTTAACAGCAGCACAATCGTCTACAATAACAGCTGTTTCTACTTGAACATGCTCACACGCTTTATTTGCCGTAATAACAGTCTACAGGTGCTGGTCATAAAATTAGAATATCATGAAAAAGTAGATTGATTTCAGTAATTCCATTTAAAAAGTGAAACTTGTATATTATATTCATACATTACATACAAACTCATATATTTCAGATGTTTATTTTGTTTAATTTTGATGATTACAAATGACAACAAATTAAAATCTCAAATTCATCATATCAGAAAATTAGAATATTGTGAAAAGGTTCAAAATTGATGGCCCCTGGTGCCACACTCTAATCAGCTAATTAACTCAAACCACCTGCAAAAGCCTTTAAATGGTCTTTCAGTCTAGTTCTATAGGCTACACAATCATGGGGAAGACTGCTGACTTGACAGTTGTCCAAAAGACGACCATCGACACCTTGCACAAGGAGGGCAAGACACAAAAGGTCATCGCTAAAGAGGCTGGCTGTTCACAGAGCTCAGTGTCCAAGCACATTAATAGAGAGGCGAAGGGAAGGAAAAGATGTGGTCGAAAAAAGTGTACAAGCAAGAGAGATAACCGCACCCTGGAGAGGATTGTGAAACAAAACCCCTTCAAAAATGTGGGGGAGATTCACAAAGAGTGGACTGCAGCTGGAGTGAGTGCTTCAAGAACCACCACACACAGACGTATGAAAGACATGGGTTTCTGCTGTCGCATTCCTTGTGTCAAGCCACTCTTGAACCACAGACAGCGTCAGAAGCGTCTTGCCTGGGCTAAAGAGAAACAGGACTGGACTGCTGGTGAGTGGTCCAAAGTCATGTTCTCTGATGAAAGTAAATTTTGCATTTCCTTTGGAAATCAAGGTCCCAGAGTCTGGAGGAAAAGAAGAGAGGCACTTCATCCACGTTGCTTGAAGTCCAGTGTAAAGTTTCCACAGTCAGTGATGGTTTGGGGTGCCATGTCATCTGCTGGTGTTGGTCCATTGTGTTTTCTGAGGTCCAGGGTCAACGCAGCCACATACCAGGAAGTTTTAGAGCACTTCATGCTTCCTGCAGCTGACCAACTTTTTGGAGATGCAGATTTCATTTTCCAACAGGAATTGGCACCTGCACACAGTGCCAAAGCTACCAGTACCTGGTTGAAGGACCATGGTATCCCTGTTCTTAATTGGCCAGCAAACTCTCCTGACCTTAACCCCATAGAAAATCTATGGGGTATTGTGAAGAAGAAGATGCAATACACCAGACCCAACAATTCAGAAGAGCTAAAAGCCACTATTAGAGCAACCTGGGCTATCATAACACCTGAGCAGTGCCACAGACTGATCGACTCCATGCCACGCCGCATTGCTGCAGTAATACAGGCCAAAGGAGGCCCAACTAAATACTGAGTGCTGTACATGCTCATACTTTTCATGTTCATACTTTTCAGTTGGCCAACATTTCTATAAATCCTTTGTTTTTATTGGTCTTCAGTAATATTCTAATTTTCTGATATGATGAATTTGAGATTTTCATTTGTTGTCATTTGTAATCATCAAAATTAAACAAAATAAACATCTGAAATATATGAGTTTGTATGTAATGTATGAATATAATATACAAGTTTCACTTTTTAAATGGAATTACTGAAATCAATCTACTTTTTCATGATATTCTAATTTTATGACCAGCACCTGTACATGAAACACCCCCTCATTCATAAAACGGTACATTTGGGACATTTCCGGGTACAGGTGGTCAAAAACAGGGCCCGCCACCAGAAATCGAGGTCTAGTCACCTTGGCTAAAGTCTCCCCTTAGAAGCCAGAAGGGGTGTTAAAGTGCCCCTTCGGGAGCCAAAACCTGTGCTGAACTGCCCCCTACAGTGGTGAGGACCTGCGATATTTGCCCTTTTTTTAAATTTTTCTTCCCACCCCTGGCCTTTAAAAAGTCTGTGCACGCCACTTGAAATAACTGGGCTGCTGAAGTGTTCCGGACATCTCAAAAGAGGATTAATGTGTCAGTGTGCTTCAACGTACTCAGTCTTGATGAAGGCGTACTTGTTGATGGTCTCAATCACGTCTCTGAATAGGATCTTGGAGGTGAGGGTGTAGCCATGGTGTACGATGGGCTCTCCATCCTGACCGTCCCAGCAATCAACTGTGAAAAGAACAGATTTACAGAGCAAAATGAATTCATGACAGAACATAGGAACTTAATACTAAGAATTGTTTACATTTAAAGCCCAGACTTTTCTTTTTATATTCAACTATAGTGAAAATGTTTTTAGTTTTCTTTCTTAAGTTTGAAAATGGTTTGCATGTTAAATTGAGGAAACTTTAGAGCCCAAAGCAGCAGATTAACACCATACTGCTTCAGTGTAATGTTCTTTTTATCCAAAGAAAAACTTTTTTGCAGCCTTGTATAAACGTCTTCCAATTCATGTTCGTTTTTGCTTGTTGATGATTTTTGCACCTGCACATTTGAATGATTACTAAGCAATTTCCTCACTGGAGACTGAAAAGAACATAATGGTTTCAGTAGATGAAATATTAATGATAAAAAAGCACATCTCTTGGCGCACACAAGCCATTTAGCTCCAATTAGTGTTTCAAGAAGTGAAATGGCCTTTCATTTGGCCTCGGTGCATCAGCACACAGCGTACAGCACTTTAATCTTTAAAGCTCAGCGGCAGCTTTGTTTCACAATTATATAGAAAGAAATTCTTAATCTTCATTATTACGCTCAGCCTGTTTAGATTTTATTAGTGATTTAATTAATGATTCTACTTTTTTAAGTTTATCTGTTTCAATAGAGTGGAAGTATAACACCAGGTGGTACCATGGCTGTGGGAATTGGTGCCGAGAGGGAGATTTAACCCCTTAAGCCGTGAGAGTTTTAGGAGCAAATTCTGCCTGAAATCACATCTATGAATTAAAACAAGAACAGCTCCTATAAACTGGAAATACAATTGTTTGTGTTTGTATGACAGAAAGGCATTGAGGAATATTTTCAGGTGGAAGCATTATTTTAAATGTCACCATTTCTGAATGTGGCCAGACCGATATGCTGATTTATGTTACTGAAGACCTTCTGCATAAGACAAAACCTTTTCCCCTAAGATTTAGCTGTTTTTTTTTCCGTTGAAATTTACCAATAATATGACCAAATCGAAAAGAAAATCAGAATAAGAGAGCAGGCTTATGTAACACATGCTGGTTACATCACCAGAAATGATCGCACAATTACCTCCGTTTCTTCCTTAGAAAGGTCTAAGAAACTAGTTTACTATGATGCCAGCCAGTAGTGGGCGGGGCTAAAAATAAATACCTGCTGTAACATTACTCCTGCAGAGTGACAAATGTCAGGTGAAATTTTATATCTCATTTTATTGGTTTACACAGCTATAAAACAAAAAGTACGTGTGAAAAAATTATTTTGAAACATGTTTTAAAAATTTAAAAGCCCCATTTGAAAGGCGTGTGGATAAAACACCATGTGACTGTGTTTTGGTCATTTCTATAGATAGATAAACATGGGCTGGTGTCTGCTGGGCCCTGTACCGGACCCGTCGGGCTGAGGGGGTTACAAAAATGTTTTAAAAAATACTATGCACAATTTATAAATTTCCTATGAATGTTTTGGGAAGTAATTTAGAATTTTTTTATTTTACTATCACACCTGTTTGGATTTTAATTTAATTATTTTGAGGCCTAATCAACACAAGTTCATGGAAGTTACATTGTCATGGCAACGTCAAGAAAGGTTCGCAGCAGCAGACTAGTAAATGACAGAAATGACGAAGAAATATGACAAGGAAATATTTGGTTTTGTCTGCTTATAAGAGACTTTATCTCAATGACCCCTGAGTGCACCTCATCATTTGGACACCTGTAACCAGGCAGCTCAAAGGAAGAGCACTTTCATATCTTTTTGTGCAGTTTAACAAAACCATAGTATTTTAGAGTGTTATTTTGATTTTGTGTTCTTTGTGTAATGAATGTAGAGAACTGTTCAATAAGGCTCAAATAGTATAATTTAATTATTTCCTTGTGGTTTGCGTAAAAGGATTATAGAGCTAATAGAGTCGCCTGTGACATAAACGCAGTGACTCAGGTTTATGCCAGCTGACAAAATCTATGTTGTTAGTGTTATTGTGAAGTTTAATTGAAAGCACATATATTCACCCGAGAACTGATGATGTCTGTGTGATACAGACCCTGTTGGCGTGCACTAACGTGTATATGACAATAAAGTAGTGAATCTCAATCTATTTACTTATTTATTTTTATTATATTATAAATAGGCTTATAGGCTCATAGGTCTCTTCTCCAAAGAAAACAAAATTTTCACAGCACACCAATCAATGTTCAAAAGTACTTCCAGAGGCCTTGGGTGTAACACACAAGATTCTATACAGAAATTAAGGACTAGTTGATAAAAATGTAATGTTTAGAATAAAATTATAACATTACTGAAGCTTTGGTGCCTCACCCTAGCCTCGTGAGACCATCCTGATCTCGCGAGCTTTCAAGGTTTCACTCGCAAATCAGTCTGGAGACTCTCTGTTGAAGAAAATTTGGAGCCGTTCACCAAACGAACGTCCAATCAGCGTTGGCTTTGAGGCGGGTTGAGGTGTGACGCAACGAGAAGCGTGACAGTTCAGTCTGAAGAACATGGCGGCTTCAGCCGATGAAACTAGCGTTAGCGTGGCTATCGAATAAGTTTTATCAGAATTACAGAGTATTTCTTCAATGAAAGAAGAGCAAAACACTGCTCTGGAGGCTTTTCTCAGAGGAAAAGATGTTTTTGCTCTTCTCCCGACTGGTTTCGGCAAGAGTAGCCTGGCTTGTGGTTGTGTTTTCGTCGTTGCTCTGTTAGTACGTCATATGCTTCGTTGATCTGATTGGTTTATTTGGCCCGTCTATCACCAACATAGGCCAATCAGCTAACCAGTATTTTTGCCCCTTCACAAAATTACTTCAACGAAAGGTTTCCAGATGGATATGCAGAGCAAATCCATCTGGCGGAGTCAGGTTAGCCTCACCCAGTAGTTCACTAATAAATATATAAAAACTGTGAAAACTCTTGAGCACATAAAGAGCTGCCCAAGAGAAAAATGCTAAAAACAAAGCAAACATTCATATCAGTGGGATAAGCTGTAGGCTTATAATGGGTAGGGTTCTTCTTAAATCTGCTTTAATGTGGGTTAAAAGGCCAATTGACTTTGCACCACCTGTCAATCAATCCCAGAGGCTTGTCAGAAACTGACCTATCAGCAATCTCTATTTGTCCGAAAGTGAAAGGGCCGTCCCCTGGAGGAGCACACTCCCAAAACACTACCAGGATTTAGCATTTTTGGAATGCTTAGACATGGGACGAGTGTTTAAAAAACAAAAAACAAAGCACGCATTAAAAGGCAAAATGTTGTCAATGAGCAACATGCAATTTAGACGGACATTACCCTAAGAATTTAGATTTTGGAGCATACTTTGTTCGAAAAAGAGTCTTGGAAAATGTAACAGATGAACAAAAGCTTGCTGCTGACTGCACGATCAGCTCAAAACAACTAATTACCATGAAATATGGATTGTTCATCTGTAAAAAGGTAAGAGACAATTCTTCAGTTTTTTCCCCTTTTTTGCCATAATAACAGTTTGTTAATTTTTAGCCTTTGAAGAAGTGTGTGTTGCTAAATTAATTATGAACACATGTGGTAATAAACTATATTGAAGGCAACATGCTGGGATGAGCTTTAAATATTGATACCCAATACAGTTACAAAAGCTGTTACAGCTACAGGGGGGCTTTACTCCCATGAATGTGTACAATATCATTCCTCCTCAGTCTGTGAAAAAGTTTGGGTTTTTCCCTGATTTGTCATCAGCATTTGCTTAGAAAGCTTCAGTATACCAATCAAATAAATCAAACAACTCAATCAAAGAAATATCTAGAAGTGCAGATTATATAAAACTGCATCACTGACCCAGAGTTTTTCTAGTCATATTGAACGGTCTTGATGCTGAAGTCTGAATGTTCAGCCAAAACTTAAATATATATATATATATATATATATATATATATATATATATATATATATATATATATATATATATATATATATATATATATATATATATATATATATATTTATTTATTTATTTATTTATTTATTTATTTATTTAGTCATTTAGACAGTTTATGCAGCAATCAGTGATTCTGCTGCTGCAGAAAATTATATGAAGATGTGTAATAAAATAAACTGCAGGACCTTTAAAAACAGATACATTATCAATTTAGTACAAAATAAAATAGGTGGCTCAAATTGAATTTTTCTTTTTGAGGAGGAAAAAAAACAAAATTGGGCTGCCTAGACTTCTGGAAAAGTGTCAGATATGAGTTGTTTATGGGCAGAAAGGTCACATTTGGGTCACATTTGCACCACTGAGTGAACGTAGCCTTACTCTAGCAGTAATCTCCTAGTCACTTATAATAACAAACACATTCATGCACCAATACGCTAAGCAACACAGGGTGAGCTGTTTTTCCCCTAAAATACATATCAAAATGAAAACTACAATCTGGGATGGACTGTTCTGGCCTACATCTGATTCAGCTCCAACAGGAAAAGGGGTGGAGATTGTATTGATAGAAAAGAGAGCAGAGACACAAATAAGGGATAATTACAATCATTGAAAATACTCAAAAATAATCTGCCAATGTTAAGTTCACAAAACTATGTGCAGCTTTTCAAACATCTATCCTTCCATCTGCTTATTTCTACTCTGCGTCAAAAAGGGATGATGTCTGTCAGCAGTAGATCATGTTTGATAGGAGGGAAGCTTGTAACATGAGCCTGCAATCAATGATGGATACATTCATACACTGTGAAAATTTGGAATATGAAATGAACTGAGATTCATATTTTTAAACTGTGAGAAGCAGCCAAACAAGCAGAATAAGTAAATAAGCTGTTCTGCTTTATTTGGGTCTAGAAGCATCATATAAAAATGTAAGCGTGAAGCACCTTCCACACAGCGACAGCCAGCCTGCAGCACCCAGGCGTACATGTCTACCCTGGACTGGGACATCAGCTGGTCCCCCATCAGGTAGGTGTTATGTGATGAAGCAATGAAGTAGTTGCACAGAGGCTGGTTCATGTCCTGGCTCACGTTGTAGTGCTCTGGGTTGAAGATGTCCCCAGCTGGACTGCGCATGTAATTAGTAAAACCTAGATCCAAAAGAAAACAACTTTAGCTACACAATGTCAAATGCAGGCGTTTTCCTACAGGTCCTATAGGCAGATAAACTTTACAGACAAGACAGGGGTGAAGATGTGGGACATTTGCAAAGTAAAAAAAGAAACCCTTAGTCATACAAAGTTTATCCATCAGCTTTTGCTGGAGGTAGTTCAGCTCTGGCACAAGAACCAGTTTAGGTTTATATAGCCAGAGAGCCTTCATGACCAAAAAATGAAAATGAAAAAAACAGCTCTTCTGTTTTCTAGACCTCTGTAGGATATTACAGTGTTATGTGTTGATATCATGGCCTTCATTTTAATGCTGCCTCAAACACCAAGGTTTTAGATATGAACTGGGGGCTAATCTACCATGTAAAAGAATATTATTTTTAATTTTCATAAAAGGAAAAACAGGTACCTAGATCCAAAGCTAAGAAAACACAACAACATCAAAAACCAAGTGGCACCCTTACCATCTATTCCCAAAACGCCCTGCTTCTGGTTTTCAGAGCACGGCTCAAACTTGTTGATTATCTCCAGACAGTGGTCCTTAGTCACCGTTGTCATCTGCAAGATGAAAATATACCATTTCTAAGACACAGTTTATAAGCTAGAAACATAAACAGATTACTTTCGCAAGGGTAAATTCCTTTGCTTTAGGTGCATACATGTCATCATTTCATCCATCCTGATTGCAAAACGCAGCCTGGTGCCTGGCAGCGGCTGTTTAAAGCTCTGTTTGAGCTCTAACAATCATTAAAAAGGAGGGGTCAATCCCCCTTTCTGCACAGCTGCATTTCCATCTTTAAAGGCTTTAACAAATACAATTTTCAGTAGTCTAATCCAGTAGAAACTTACTCATAACCAATGCTAAAACAACTGCATCAGAGATGCTAACTCCAACTATGATTTAAGTGCTGAGACCTATTCTATATTTAGAAGACTGTGGCCAACATTAAAACAAAATCATTCTGATCTAAACAAACACTTTTTAAATAATAAAAAAAACAAAGATATTTACTATGCAAGTTTTTTGACACTTTTTTTATTTTTGAAAATGATGCAAATGTTGGGTTTGCCAATTATGACCAAAGAAATCCTAGGGAAGACAGCCGGTGAAAATAATTTTCAGGAGACAGTCATTGACGCCCTGAACAGGAGAGTAAGCCCCTTTAAAGCATTTCCAAAGAACACCGTTGTCCACAGAGTCCTGTAGATCAGTGATTCACAACTCTTACCCCTAGTGGTCCATGAGTGTATTGCAAGGGGTACATTAAAATATTTTATTACTTAGTTTGTAAAATAAAATAGGGCTGTTTTGCTTTGTGAGGACCCAATTGAAAAATTAAATAAGATTTTATCAACCAATAAATCAGTTTCTCTTATATGTTTGAGTTCACATTCAGCTTTGACACACATCAAAACCAAGCAGGCAAACAGGCTGGATGTACTTTTTTTCCACACTGAGCTATTGAAGCTTATCAAAGCTGCTTAGGTGTCTTGATGAAAACAGCAAGTTAAAAAGTAAAACTTATTAAGTCAATCTAACTATACATTTTTTATTTTGTCCCCAATTCATCTAGTTTAAATGTTATATAAGGGAGTTACTCAGAGGAGCTCTTGTTTTATAAAGGCAGGTTTTTAATGTCCCATTATTTACTATTTATTTTGATTCTCTACTAATGATTAGATTAAGTAAAATAGTTTTTATTTTATAATCAGTTATTGTACGCTCCGCATTTGGACAATCATCAATACTTTTGACTGAGAGAGGGACTCATGGTAAGACAAAAATTTCCAAAGGGGAACACAAGCCAAAAAAGGTTGGGAAACACTGCTGTAGATTTGATAACAGAAAGTTGAGTGGAAGGAAAACTTCAGGAGGACTGAAAAGCGAGACTCATTGTAGGATTTGGGAGTGCTTTACACGAAGCGGACGGAGGCCATCATTAGCTGGACCATAAGATCTACCTTTTGCTCGGTCACCAGAAAGCGAGTGAGGTCATCCGTGTCCAGGTGGTCTTTGTGGTTGCTGTAGGTGAGCATGAGGAGATAAAGATCTCTACGAGTCGACATCATCTTGTAGAAGGAGCAGAACTCCTCAAACCCCAAAGTTCCCTGTTTGTCATCTGTGTCTGCCTCCTAAAAAACAAACAGACAGTAAAATCAGAATTTATTGAAACATTTTTATTTGCTCTTACCCTCCTGGGTTTCTATAATAGTTCAAACTAACTAAATGGTCGACACTTAATATTATTTACCGACACTTTCAGTTGAGGACCTGCCATCACTGGAAAAACGATTTAGAAATAAGTAAAAATTTCAGCACATAAGATGCAGCACACACTTATACAGGATGATAATACATAATCCAAACAACTAAGCTCTCTAGAGGTGACACATTCCTCCCACTACCTGACAGATCTGGCAGTGCAGTCTTTTTGAGGGTGTGCCTAGTTTATAAAAAATATATATATATTAACCTTATTTGAGTAAATATGGGTAATTTTTTTTTCTTCCTTCGTCCATATTTTTCCTTGGCAAAAGCCTCAGCTCTTATCTCTGTGCTCTTATTCTGCCTTATTTTGATAAGTTAAATTTAAAGACTAGTAAAATTAAAGTACGATAGCTTTGAGAGTGAAATAGCAGGATGAACACGAACATGGGGCAGGCACTTTAACAAGTGATTAGTTTGAAAATACAAATGTGCTTGATCAATTGCGTTTTGGTACAGTGTGATCTGCTTATGATAATACTTTATTAATTCCAAAAGGAAATAAATGTTGGCTTTTTTTTTTTTTAAGTTGTTGTAAATGTAAATGTTACGACGGAGTATTAGGGCCACACATGAAGAGAAAATTTTTTTTTTGCCATGACGAGATTAAACTCGACATGTCGACTTTAAAGTTAACATGTCGACATTAAACTCAACATTTCGAGAATAAAGTTGAAATGTCATGTTGAGTTTAATCTCGACGTGCCGACTTTAAACTCGCCATTTCGAGAATTAAGTTGATTATCGTGGCGACTTTAATCTCGACATTCCAAAGTTTGGAGAAAAGAGCAACCGCGCTCCACAGCTGCAGCCTGCGTTTTAAGAGTGAAGGTAGTCTTTGACGTGCTGCAACTGTATAATCATCACAGGAAGCGGTGGCCTACCAATAATAACGTAACGTCTTTCCCTATGCTTACCCAGGCTTGCAGTTCTGAATTTGAGAACATGTCAGTCATTTCAACTTTATTCTCGAAATGGCGAGTTTAAAGTCGACATGTCGAGTTTAATCTCGTCATGGCAAAAATATTTTTTCTCTTCATGTGTGGCCCTAATACTCCGTCGTAAAATGTTGACAACTGCAGGCAATTATGAAAAAAAAAGAAAATGTTAGAACTGTAAATATAAAGTCATATGTTTATATTACTATTTTATAAATGTATTTATTACCGTTTTCAAGGCTGCACTTCAGAAAAATTAAATTGTCTAGAGCTGTTTTAAATTACATTTAATACTCGAGTAAACAAAATAAATGTGTCTAAAATCTAAATGTAATGATCTTCTGCAGGAGTCTGTTTTGTCCTGAATCTGGAGACATCTTTGACTGAAGATGTGTGATATTCATAATATTGATCCCTGATATTCATAATGTTCTTCTTTTTCTCTGTAAAAGCATCTCCAGAGGTCTGACAGGAGTTCCAAGAATAGCGCCGGCCTCCTTTATGAGCTTGTTGAGCTTCTTTAAGTCATTTGCTCTGCTACCGGTACCCCAGCAGATGATAACAGAAGAGCTTACTTCACACCACAACAGACTGATAGAAGAAATGTATGGTGTCAGTTTTCTGCCAAGAGTCCACACACGCAATAAATACTCCTACAAGCAGCTTTACTTCACACAGACGCTCATTAACTCTTCCTCACGCACATGTTTAACATGTTTCATGCACATATAGAGTACCACGGAGCCCCAGTATATCACACACACGAGTACTTGTTCCTTCTCTGCATGCGTGTGGTTTGATTTCCACACGTGTGCAGCCTCCTTGTCTTTGTGTGTGGATCTGTTTGTGTGCTCACATCAACTTTTGTCACTTTGAAGGCGTTACCCACTGGATAAAGCAACCTGCCTGTGATTGGCTACTTCTCAGGAAATTCCTCCTGATCTCATCTCATCATTCCTTATGTCCCATCACAGTTCTTCGCTCTCAATCTGCAGGTTTACTAGTGGTCAATGGAATTTCTAAAGTAGAATGGGAGGCAGATCTTTTAGTGATCAGGCTCCTCTCCTGTGGAAACAACAACCAGTTTCAGCCCATGAGGCAGAAACACCGTTTCCTTTTAAGGGTAGGCTAAAAACTTTCCATTTTGATAAAGCTTATAGTTAAAATAGCTCAGATTATTCTGACTTATCATGATAGATATGCTGATATAGGCTTATGCTGCTGGAGGACATAGGGACCTCTTTTCATCATTCTGTTTCATTCCATCTCTATTCTCTCATTCTACAGTATTTGTTAGTTTAATCTCTAACGTTCTGCTCTCTCTGCTTTCTCTCATCACAGTAGCTTCATCTGGTCGGTCCCTGTGTGGCTGTGACTCCATCACAAAGAGAAATATCAGCTGTGGTGCTGCTGTCAACACCTTTGTTTATGGATGTTGGAGATCGGCCTGTTTTCTGCAGTCCTGTTTTTCTGACTGTTACTAACTGGATGTGCTCTCTTTATCCTCTGACGTGTGAGTTGTGTTTCCTGGACGGGGCCGCCTGTGGAGCTGGTTGAGAGTTGCCTTATGTATCTCTGCTTCTTTCTGCATCTCTGCTTTTGTCTCCTTAAACCCCAGTCGGCCTCAGCAGATGGCCGCTCACACTGAGCCTGGCTCTGCTGGAGGTTTTTTTCTGTTTTCCTCTCCTCTGTTGTTACGAGCATGCTTGGTGTGAGGAACTGTTTTTGAGTCAATGCAATCATTTGATTTTAGTTATAAAACTTTGAACCAATCTGACTGTATGATCTGGTTAACTTGTCTCTGTAAAGTGCCTTGAGATGATATGTGTTGTGAATTGGTGCTATATAACTAAACTGAATTGAATTTTATTGGAATGTAAACATTTACCAAAAGAACATAGGTAAGCTCTATCTGCAAATTAGACCAAAAAAGAAAACTGCCAACATAAGAATATCTGGGATGCAGAGACAAATGTTTAGTGTAACATGTCCTGAATGACACCATCTGAAGTTTATGAGCACTGCCAACACACCTCCCTTTAGTTTTACAGCCTTCTATAAATCTCTGTCTGCTCGTATGGCCTAGCAGAGAGATATGGAGTAGTAGATATGATCCTGCCGCCACGTTTCAGTAAACCACATAATGCATTTTTGATATTTGGGAAGAATCTTAGCTGATGGCTGTACAGAAGCATAACCCTGCACTGATACCATTACCCCTGGAGATGATGACAAAACTGTTGAATTGCTCTAATTGACTATAATAGGTTGCAGAATTAGTAGCAGAGAATGGCTGGGTACAATGTAAATTGGGGGGGTTACCGTGAATGTATATGTGGATTTGGATATTCAAAAAGTAGGTACTGCTCAATTTTTTTTCTATAGGCTTCCTCTCTTGATGTGCAGCAGACAGTTAAAGGAAAATTCCGGTTTTTAACACTTTTAGCCCATTTTCTGTAGTGTCCAGGATGAAATC